AACAGGTGGCTAGAATACTTTAAAGGACTTTTGAAGAGACCAGCTCAACTGAACCCATCGGACATCGAAACAGCATTTATAGATGTCACTCCAACAATAATCTAAAAAATCATCAGACCTATCGAATAAATCAAGGATGACGTAGTAGCAGAACCAGACAGCATACCAGATGAAGCACTGAAGCCAAACATATAGGTAACTGCAAAGATGCTCCAGATTCGTTCCAAAAGGATTTGGGAGACCTCAACATCTGAGGAGAAGCACGAAATACAGTGCACAGCTTGCTTGCAAGAAGACGATCCGAACTTCGTAGATGACCTAGCTGTTTTCACCCATACATAAGAACAAATGCAGCTTAGGATGACCAGTTTGGCGGAAGCTTTTTCTCCAGAGATCTCAACATACACAACGGAAAAAGTAAGATCCTCAATTATAGCACAGAGAACACCAACCCGATCACACTTGATGAAGAAACTATGGAACAGGTGGAAACTCTCACGTACTTGGTCAGCATCATCGATGAACGAGGAGGATCTGATGCAGACGTAAAGGCGAGGATTAGCAAAACAAGGACAGCATTCCTACAGTTGAAGAAAATTTGGAACTCAAAACAACTATCAGGCGATATCAAAGACAGGTTGTTCAATACGAATGTCGATACAGTTGGTTCGATTGTACGGAGCTGAAATTTCGAAAACTACGACCACTAGAAAGAAACTATAGGTATTTATAAGCAATTGTTTACGTAAGATACTCAATATCCGTCGACCAGACACCATCAGCAACAGCCTACTGTGGGAGAGAACAAACCAACTCCCAGTTGAGGAAGAAATTAGGAAAGGACGTTGAAAGCGGATAGGACATGCATTGAGGAAATCACCAAACTGCATCACGAGTTAAGCGCTAAATCGAGTTTCTGAAGGGAAACGGAAAAGAGGAAGACCAAAGAACACACTGCAACGAGAATTGGAAGCAGACATGGAAAGGATGAATAGCAACTGAAAACAAGTGGGAAGGATTGTTCAGGATGAAGTTCGTTGGATAATGTTTGTCAGCGGCCTATGCTTCTTCACGAGGCGTAACAGGCGTAAGTAAATAACCTAACTCATTTAAATCCCTATGGTCATCATAACCAATCTAGTATTGTAACTGCAATTATTATAAGTGTATCAATAATCCAATGAAATTCTAATGACATTTACCTGCATGTCATTTAAGATCTGATGGGAAATATTCATTCCTTATGACTTTTTTTACTTCAAAAATGTTTTCGATGAAATAACAGTACACTCTGCTTTTATCAAAGAAAAGATCATCTGAGCGTTATCCTATTTAAATAATTATGGTATGTTTTCGGTAATATTTTGCTTCATTTAAATAATTTCCAATAAGGCATTCATCAAAACAATTCAGTATTTTGTCAATCTTCTGTTGAGTCCCGAATAAGACGAAATGGGTGTCTTTGATTTCACTGCTAGCCACATTTCATCTATTCTATATAATTATTTGTACCTATCACTAATTCATCTTATTTGTATTTGGATTAATAATTCTTTTTAAAATCATTGACTATTTTCTTCCTATTTAATAGGAGCTTATGTGTCCGGTCTGTTTGTGGATGGTGCAAGATGGGATAGGCGTACAAAAAAATTAGCAGAAGCTTTACCAAAAGTTTTACAAGATCCTATGCCACCTGTAAGTGTTGTACACAATATCACCAATCATGTGTTTATTTATATAGAAAATGATTGCGACAACAATAAAATTATTCAGTTAAACGCTAATACGAATAGGTTATGTGTCCATGAGTTTGTAACTCATTCGGTCCTCAATGTTCACCATATATTCAATATCTAGCATTTTTCCGTTCACTTAGTGGGTGAACAATGTTTATAAGGGTATACTTTTCACTGAGGATTTTATCTCAAGCTTTAACGTTCACTTTTAAACTTTTTTCATCCATAAAGTTGTGATACCTTAAATTAGTATATTTAATGAATACATCTTTAAATGATCAAAAACGAAGTCCCCAGTAAAAATTAAACTTTTAAATGCATCGTTAACGCACTAACTGAACAAAAAAAGATATTCAAAAATGTAGGACGTCACACTTTTATTTTAAATTGGATAATGATGAATGTCATCACGCAGCATTATTATTATTATTATTAGTTTTTTCACATCCATTGAATATCCCAACATCAATGGATGATCGGATTATAGAGCCAACTAACAGGAAGTTCTCTGAAAACTAATAAGACTGATGACCACCCAAACAATAACACAAATAGCTGCCAACGGCGACTGAATATACTAATTTTTATTAGTTCATCCATCTTGTTAAAAAATAGAATCTAGAACTTTCACATTGTTCAAGTTCACTGAAAATGTCCTCTACGTAAACTTAAAAGATAAAGAATACTAGGCGCTGAAAATATTCTTAGTAATCGACCCCTCAAAACTGCCACATTGACTGTATGTGATAGTAAATTATTTTGGTGTGAGAAAATTAATAAATCAGAATGAATATTAGTTAAATGCAACCCCACTGAACTATTAGTCTCACATTGAAATTGGTTTTTTTTTAATATTTTTTACAGATTTGGTTAATACCAATAAAACGGAGTGATATTAAATCAAGGCCTAGTTATACAGCACCAGTTTACAAAACAAGTGAACGTCGAGGTGTATTATCAACAACTGGACATTCTACAAATTTTGTATTATCAATTCTGTTGACATCAGATAAACCGGAAAGTCATTGGATTATGAGAGGTGTCGCTTTACTATGTCAATTGGATGACTAAACGGAGTGATAATAAAAGAAATCTAGGTTCGGGGTACCTGGTACATAATCACCGACTCATAAAACTAACCATACTTTTATTATATAAGCATATTTTAAAAACAAACTTCAAATATGTATACTTATTCACTATTTTAATTATATCAATTGATATTGTCACGATATACACTGGAAATACGTTGTAAAAGTTAACTTGAATTTAGAATCATATAAGAAATTAATAAAAACTTTAAAAAATTTTGATACTAATAAAGTTGGATGACGGCTAGCAGTGAAATGCAGGACAAACTTTTTCGTACTATTTGGAACTCGCAAGCTAGATGTAACATCTTGGTGGTGATGAAGTATCTCGCATTCTGTTACTGAGGTCAGTGGAGAGAATGTTAGCTACTTTCCTGCTGAAACAGCTTGACCTTTAGTTGTTCAGGGAAAAGTGTGATTTGTTGGTATTTATTCCACCTAAATGTGTCAGTATTATATGAATAGGTTTACGGAGTGTTCCTTAACTCCGGATTATTTGTAGTAACTTTCTTAATGTTTGTGATTTATTTTTTGGAACAAAGCCATTGAGTTTTTTCCTAAAAATAGACCCACAAATAATCTAAGTAATAGAACGAAAACTAAACGTGGTGGAGCCATTTCAAATTACGAAGTATCGATGCAACTATCCGTTTTCCCATAAATAGTTGTTGAACGTATACAACGTTAGCAAACTACGAAGCCCATCAGTGAAAGGAACTAAGTGTTGATTAACTAGCGAGGTATTTTCTGAGATTGGTATCTCAAGCTTACTTGCTTACACCCGTTACACCTCGTGGAGGAGCATAGGCCACTTACTACCATTCTCCAACGAACCTCGTCCTGAGCAATCATTCCCACTTGTTTCCAGTTGCTATTCGTTCTTTTCATGTCTGCTTCCGATTCTCGCTGCAATGTTCTTTGGCCTTTAGTAGTGTTCGAAATTTCAGCTCCGTACAATCGAACCAACTGTATCGACATTCGTATTGAACAACCTGTCTTTGATATCGCCTGATAGTTGTTTTGAGTTCCAAATTTTCTTCAACTGTAGGAATGCTGTCCTTGTTTTGCTAATCCTCGCCTTTACGTCTGCATCAGATCCTCCTCGTTCATCGATGATGCTGACCAAGTACGTGAGAGTTTCCACCTGTTCCATAGTTTCTTCATCAAGTGTGATTGGGTTGGTGTTCTCTGTGTTGTATTTGTAGTGGCTCACTAACTGACAGGAAATAAGACTTCTTTATAAACTAAGTATTTGCCTCGGATTTAAAAATCGATATCAGCTAGGCATCTACCTGTTAAGTTATCTTTGTCTGAAACATTGTGTCGTTTTGCTCATACTTCATCAGATGCTTTAGTTATATTTCAAACTGCTTCCCCTACTATTATTAATTCACTCCCCTACACTAACTTTTGTTGATTGCTGCTGATCTTTTTATCATACTCAATACTTTATCTCTTAATAACCTCATTATTAATGTGTAGCGTATATGTATTTGGTGACCCCTTATACTAATGTTTTTATGTCAAATTAAATAATTGCGTAGCATAAGTGTGAGATTCGTTTGTTATAACTGCACTTTTCGTGATTAACAAGTGTTATATTTAATAGTTTTTTGTATTTCATTGACTAATCGTGAATTAACTGTTATCGTATTGTTTCATACACACTTAATCCACCCCAGTTTATTGGAATCGCCATTTAGTACCTATCGGCCAACTGTTGCCAAGTTTATCGCATTGACTGGGAATTTTTTAAACCAAAGCTAATTATTTTTTATAGTCACTTATTATTTGTATATACTCACATATATTCTGGGAAACCAATACGGTCTTTTGACTTTAATTGCCCTCGGGTGCGTTATTCCAGTGAATATAACAACAGAAACAGATTTAATGATGCCAGGTATTCAACTGGCATTAAGTATAAATGTTGACAAATGTCTAATGTCATATTGATCTCCATTTATATCCGAGAAAAAACTACATCCAGTTACTGATGAAAAATATATATAATTTAGCTTTTAAAAACAATCGATACTAGGTGTTTGTGGGGTGGTTTTAAAATGATTACTAACCACTTTGCTACAATATGATAAGGGGGATGAAAACTGTATATTAATGAAATATACGTACATAAGATCAGAAAGTATACAAAAGAGCATTTTTTATTGTCATTTTGATATACATAGACAAAAATGATGAGTTAAATTGTTTACCTATTAACTCGTTGCAATAAATCGTCTTGGCATTTATCAAGCAAAAAATCAACTACCAATTCAATCTGCTTAATGTTTATTAACAACTTTTAAAAACAAAACAGGATTCAATTGTACTTGCATCCACAAAGTTGAGAATATTTTAAGAAAATCAAAAACAGGTCTAAGAATTAGTCAAATACAACAGCAAATATCATAAAAATACAAATAAATGGGTAGAAGAAAACAGCTGTACAAAGTAGGTTGGATAAATCAACGATCCTTAAATACAGGAAAACACAAACAGGGTATTTCACACAGAACCTAATCGATACAGTTAATTTTTTACATTTATCTTTTTGCTACCTCCATCTAGACCATTGTAAATTTGGGCTGGTGTTGGTTGATCAGGCTGAGATGATGAAAGAGTATTGGTGGTGCTAGTACTGGATGAATGAAAAAGTTCTGTAATCATTTTACGTTTATCTTCGGGAATTTTAAAGTTTTCAGGAAACTGAACATCGATTGTAATGTAGAGAGAACCACGACGCTTATTATTTTCAAAATTAGGCATTCCTTCATTTGGTTTATGAATAATTGTCCCTGGAGAGGTTACATAATCACTTGAGATAACAACCTATTATTAAAATAGACAAAATTGTAAAAAGTGGCGATTGACACTTTAAGGAAATAGTGGTTTTCGTGACACTATCATGGTTAGTTCCAAAACCCCGGATTTGGATTATTTCCAAATTTTCATGTTCAATACTGTCATCATAGATTGACCCAATTGTTTTCTCTTACTTACCTACCGTTTACTTTTGGGTATTACAATTATTCGTACATTCTTTTTAATGTTTCAGTCAATATTACTCGGTAAACATTGTTACATGATTCATTAAAGGTGTGCTTTTTCGTCACAACGATCACTGGATACTAAATTGTCTGGCTTAATGTCAGTGTAGTAAAAAAAGTCTTTGTGTCCTTTTCTCTTCTAATTTATTGTTTTAAAAGGCTCGTCACTTTAGCTATAGATAATGAATCTAACAAAAACGTAATCTTTCAACTATTACAGTTAAGTGACTATCAGTGTCAATACTGTTAGCCGTAGACTTGAGCATTCAGAAATAATACATCACTTGCTTTGACATTTTACCCCTTAAATTTAATAAATTTTATTCACTATGCTGAAGGATGCAGGGTGACAAAATATTAAAGCATTTAATGAAAACGGATAAATATAAAAAAGAAAGCTACCTACTTGATGGCCGTCTAAATGTGTAAATGTTACATGATATCCATTCAGAGATTGGATCAGAGTGAGAGTGATGTTAGTGTATAGGTCATCACCTCGTCGATGAAATATATTGTGTCTATAAGATAAATAAATAACGTTTAAACAAGAACCAGACATTTTTGGTATATGCTAATTGTATACTGAAAACAAGTTACTACAGATTAGATTCTGGAGTGGTGGTTCGAGAGTTAGAGGGCCCTATATTCAACTATTTGATTATAAGTCAAAACTTCTTTCAACGTGCTTCGATTTGACTACACTAAGTATGGCTCAAATCCAACTTCACAGATATAAGCTTTATTAGTGAATCACACTAATTAGCTAACAAAGCTTTATTGATAAAACACTACGACCAATTTTACCATCCGCTTTCAAGATTCATTACAATGGAGGTGAATGTCAATACCAATGAAGGGATAATTAAGACGTTCAGATTATTAAAATAAGTTTCTTAAATAATGTTTGATGAAAATCTATGAAAACGACTCACTAACTGGGTACTTACAAGCCAATTTAACGAAATGATTACATTTTTTAATGGCGACGTTTCGTTTTACTTTATCGATGTTATAAGGTTCATTATAGAGTTGTTTATTTTTAATGGACGTCAGTTCTGTGAAAAACCTTCCTGTAATTGTTGTTCAATGGAATGTCTTTATAGTGATTTTTGGTCGAACGAAACAGAGAAATTTACGGAATACAGTCATGACTTTATTGGGTTATTTGGATATAAATGCTATATTATCAAAATCCAATGTTCACTTTTCACTTCAACAATGACTTAAAACTAGTATTCGGTAAAATCCAAACACTTCAATATGTATGACAACATTTTGCTACTCATAACTCCATCATCTGATCAGTTTCTAAACATTCAGTAGTAAGGTAACGCGAAAAATTTTGTAAACTACTGTTCTTCTAAGGAAATTGGACATAAGTTATCTTTTATACACAATGTTGTAAAATGTAATTCAAAAAGTAACTAAGGAAAAAAGGAAAACGGTTAACATACTTTTTTTGTTTAATACGAAATTTCAGATCACCTGATTCACCATCAGAATGAGGTTCCCCTTCGCCAACGAACGGATAAAAATACCCATCTCTCATTCCTGGCTCGATTTCCACATACAGATTTCGTTCCTCAGGTACAAACCTTATAAAGTTGGGTTATTTATTTAGTTTGAGTATAAGAGTGGTACAGTTTAGCACCAAAAACATGCAAAACGAAATGAAAATCATATTAAGAAATGGAAAAAACATATAATAAATAGGTTAAATTAATTCATCCTAGAGCACCGTCTTTTGTGATTCTACATATGATGTGTAAGCCGCTTCCATACAGACCTGGTCAGTTAGTGACGCACTATCGTAAGGCCCCCGAATGCCCTGGTACGGCCGAGAGTGGGGGAAGTCAGCTCTCCCTCTTCAAATGCTTTCATATGGCCACGCGTATATAGCCTCTGCCAGGGAAATCCTACTCACTGCCTTCTCGTGGCGGGCATGTTGTTCACGAAATTGAGAGGACGAAAAGCAAATGTCCGGTGCTTTAACCGGATTGGTGGGTACGGAGTATCTACCTAGGGGAGTTGAAGAACCCTGATTCCAAACCAAATGTTGCACAAGGGCTCCAGGATCCAAAGGGGACAAATGACGTGTGAACCTACGGTTGGTCACCGGCTACTATGGGACTGCATCTCCTAACATCACTCCACTGCCTTGTGGATTGGACCTCTAGGTCAAAGGCTCGGAGAGTGGCCCCCTAAAGAAACCACATGCTTTGGTTTGGGCACCCGGGTAGTACCCCAGCTCATACACAAATTGAATGGTTTGTGTGGCGCATATATATTTGGTGCCCCCTTGCACCAATATCTATGTTTTCAAATAATAATAATAATAATAGAGAAGTGATCCAACCACAAACTAAATCAACACTTGACCAGTTATATCTTTTCATTTTTTCTATGGAGCATTCCAAAATCTATTGGCAGTCAAATACACTAAATATTTTTTAACCCACGAAATATATAAACAAGGGATTTAAAAATAAAAATTCTTGATGGACAGTTTTACCGCTTTTACTAACGTATTTCATCAGTGAGTTTTTTGTGAAGCATTTATATGCTCCATTCTACAAAATGAATTTAGATTTGGTGTCATACTATTGTGATTAAAATCTTTTCCGTTTGACGAGAATTAATTAGTAGCCAGTTAATGTAAATTAATTTATCATATCACAGGCTGGTTACTAAGTCTTTCTAGGATGATCTACATGATCAAGGTATCATATACCTATTAAACAGTTGGCACAGAAATAATAGATGCGTAAGCAATCAAAACTTAATATAAATATGGTGATAGAACAACACAATAATGGTTGGAGTGTTTTACAGTTGGTTGTTTTTCCTAAGAATGAATGTGTGGGGACATAAGACAGAATAATTAGTTCTTATTTTCGATTAGCCACGGATTTTTCTGCTACAAAAGAAAATAAACAATGCGTCTTAATATCTAAAATACACTATGTAGTATGGTCGTTATAACTGATTTTATTTCTTAACAAAATGAACTGCAAAAATAAACCTACTGGACGTTTGGGCAGTCGCTACAGACTTGTTCTTGGTGCATCTGGAAACGACCAGGGCCTAGGACTGTTGTACGTAACTCCATACGACAGTTGCACTTGCGAGTTCCACGTGCAGGCATTTTGACCAGTTTACGCCTAGTCACTTCTATAGAGTTCCCCACATAGAGTTCTTCCAGGGTAACCCACAAGTCCATAACAATATCACCTCCACGCGATGCTTCTTCCGGAGATCGAGCAAAACCAAAAGGATTAAAATCATGTTCTCCATGACTTTTTAGACCCTCTTCACCGTACTGATCGTAAAGTTTACGCTTGTCATCTTTGCTGAGAACCTAAGTACAGGATGTTTAGTTAGTAAGCTCACGTTTATGAGGAAATTACATAAGATTATTTCTGAAGAGCATATGTGTGATCAACATAGACATTTTAAATTCACATAACTTTATACTCATTTCGGATTACAAAGTCTGAGCAAGCAGGTGACTGGCAAGTGGATTAATTTGATTTTATGTATTTTATCCTCAACAGCGTGACTAATTTTAAACCCATATCTACATATATTTTATGATGACTTTGGTTATTAGTCGGTCTGCTAATCTTATTTTAGAATTTACCTGACCTGTCAATATTTGAGATAACTGGCACTGAATACATTTCAGTACACTATACTTCGGTCCGGTTTGATTGGGGTGAAATCGTTGCGAAATAAGGCTATGTTTCTATAATTTTAATATAATTTCTAGTTAAACCAGTACCCGTATAATCACAGTAAAGATACAAACGCTGTACTAGAGGGACTGAAATTTTGATATAATTGCTGACATCACTCGTACCAGTGTGATTTCCAATACAATATAAATACAGAAAGGTCTAATACTAGATTTAATATTATACCGTCAATTCAGTTGTGGGCGAGACTGAATTGACGGTATAATATTAAATCTAGTATTAGACCTTTCTGTATTTATATTGTATTGGAAATCACACTGGTACGAGGGCGAGACTCTAATTTAGGGACGACCTTTGAACGAATTTTGAGTGACCTTGAGAATATTAGCCAATCAGAAGACAGCCAGTATAACGTAGAAATATATTAGAAGAAACTAATGGATTACAGTGAATATACTGATTTCACGTGATTTTAAAACTTATCAAGGTTTGCTAAAGTTTCAGATGTTTTGAAATGATATTGCATACGATATAAAAAGTCATAAATTCCAAGTACCTGTCGAGTATATTCACGGAAATGCTACTTACACAATCCTACTTTATACTACGTCCCCTGTTGTATTTTAGCTTTCTCACTGCCGTTTCATCTGTCTGCACGATACATCCTACTCCTCCGAATGATTGGTGTATACGTGATATTTTAGTTGCACATATGTCACGGCAGTACTTATACCACTGGACTGCTGAAGTTTCATAAACAACTGCAAACGCCGCATTCAGTGTTACTGGTGTATTTATTACCCAATTTGCAACTATTATTATAATCTGATTCAGTTTCAGTAGCAATCGAGCTAAGAAAGTCCTCGTTTTAGTAGACTTTCTCATCCAACATGAAGGACAACGCAATATAATCTCACCACGGTGGTTTGTACACTTTACTGCGGTCATATGATAACCGCAGTCTCACGTACAAGAACTTTTTAGTAATCCCATCCCTTGTAGCCTCTCAATAATCACCTCTTCTCTAAAATCCGCTGTAAACCGATCATATGTGAGCATCAGGTGTTAAACTTGGCTCCGTGACCTTGAAACGGCTCACACGCTTCCGATTGGCTCGTCCCTAAATTAGAGTCTCGCCGACTATTGATATGAAATTGTCTGTACCCTTCAATCAGCACCAAACACTTAGAGTTACCTCGCACAGCTACAACGCTGTGATGTGTTAACCATTTCAGTTACTCAACAGATGGAAGTAAAGTTTAACCTTATGTTTATTATTTGTAAGAAAAACGCATGCACACGATATGCTAGTTATTAAGGACATGATAGCGGTTTTGCCGCTCCAGGAAACCCAATGAACTTTTCAACTAAACAATAGAAAAAAAATCAAGCAAGACACTTTGGGAGCACGAACTTTACATATAGTAGCAACAGATAAACAAAAATAAAGACAAGTTGAAGTGTACGACAAAATACGACATACACAAAAGACAACTATATCAGGTGAATGCCAAACCCTGGAAACTGAAAGTATGGATACCGCAGATCAGACCTCAGAAATATCGAAATCCAACCAATCACAGTAACTGAATAATCTCATAATATATTTGTCAAAAATGATTAGCTACAAAAAGGCATTCACTGTTGCAGAAAAACTAAGTCTACCACACACTTTTCTAAAACTTACTTCGTAAGCTTCATTTATGTCTTGGAGTTTTTGGTCAGCTTTTGGATCATCACGATTTTTATCGGGATGCAGCTTGCTAGCAAGTGATCTGTAGGCTTTTTTGATTTCACTTTTATTTGCATTACGAGGTACATTTAGAATGGCATAAAAATCCCTACTATATTAAAATTGAAAAATGTTTGTGGAAATATCAAAACTAACCCACAGTAAACTAAAATAGAACTAAGAAACAACGACAACGTCAAGGCGTGTAACCCCAGATTCATACCGACCTCGTTTATATGTGACAATTCTATTGGTCAGAATACGTACCTAGTAGAAAAAACAAATCGTCAACATTAAATGAAAAACATTTCAATGAACTCAGTTAATGAATAGTTTTGATAACTCTTACCGAATTTAATTTGATATTTTAAGTCTAATATACCTCAGAAGTAAGATTGTAGTAATGAATTGATGCTAGTAACTATTTCATCAATCCTTTTCAGTACTAACGTATCATAGGAAATACACATTATAAATTGGAAAATTTTCCGACTTTTCCGACACTAGTAAGTTACTTCTGCCCAGAGTTGCCACGGATGTGTAGCACTTGACTCTGTTGTCCGTAACGTTATTTTGTTCGAGAAGCCCAAAATTAGTTAAACTACATGTCCGAAATGATGGGACGAAAATAGATAATCGGAAGATGGCTGAAATTTCATGTAATACAAGCAGACCAAAAAGCGGAAGATAAACACATCACAGTACACAGAAATGTGACTTAGTGAGAATAATGGACTTCAGTTGAGAGTATTTCCAGTAAAACTAATGAAGTCAGCATCATTATCGAAAGCTTTAGAAACCATTTATTTTTTGAACTTTTCACTATTACACACTAACCGAAACTTTATTTGTGTATGATTCCGAATGTGATTAGAATTCCAAATGCATGTATATTACCAGCGCAGATGGTCTAATTCGAATGATTGGGGACTTATTCGAGTTAGACAGGAACGATGTGACCAACAGCCGAATTCGATATCATGCCTCGAGTTCAGCACCTAACGCGGATTATCTCTTAGCAGCTTCAACCACTCGTCCGCAGCCCAAACACTCAGCTACACCGAAATACCAATCCACTTATGCTTCAATACTGCCCCAGTATTGCTCTAGCGGCTCTGAAAAGAACTGAAAATAATCCTCTCAGTAATTGCCCTAACAGCTACAGTCGGTCAGACACCGCTGTACGAAACAATACTAAAATTTCCATAAAAACCCACCAGTACCCTATCACCTCTAACCTAAAACACGCACCTTTTCATAGAAGTAGAATGCCCTACAACAAACATAGCGAACTGGCAGTACCCACTCATCCTGACGTGAAACAACACTCGACAAGAACTACACTAACACGTGATACCCGTAAGTCATATAGTGTGAACCTTGCAAGCTCCATGAACTAAACACAACGCAAACACCTTTCTTGGCTACAAAATCAGACAATCCTTCATTCCTTACCAGAAACATACAACCGCCCCAACTACTCACAATAGGACTAAAATTGCCCACTGGACACAAGAAAGCCATAACGTTGGCCTGCTTGGGAACCCACCTACTGATTCTAAATACTAAGTCAAGCCACCCTACCAAACTCTTTGATCCCCTCTAATTCGACATATACACCATCTCATCCTTTTTTATCTCGCTCCCCCTTAACAGTGCTGCTATGGGGTCTTCATATGTTGAGGGCGACACTCAAATTATTTTGAAACCATCTATATACTCCGACCTAATGGGGAGTGACACATCTTTCTCAACTTCCATAACTGTCTCTAGCCTTAAATGCTCCTTGGCTGAACCTCCTGATCACTCCCCAAATACATTACCTAACCATTCAACTTTACCTTTTACTCTTAAACATACTTCTTTCATCAAACTAACCTCCGACTACCTTCTCACATTAACCTATTGGTAATAAACTAAACGCTCATTAATATGGAGTCAACACTCTCAATCCTTCCTTTTCTCATGGCAAAACAGACAATCCACTGGGTTTACATCAAACCCTTCTACTAGACAAACATTCACCCTACCTGACATTTATGTTAATTAACGCTCAATATGAGCAAGGTAAGATGACTCACATACGCACCCTATTACTCTCAAACAACCCCACATTTGTTTGGATAACGTAGTTGGCTGTCCTCCGATACCACAGACTCATATCTACAAATAGACGCCTTTGAGCTCTTTCGCTGTGATCGAGTCACCAAGAAGGGTGGTGGTTGTCTTGTATATGTATCAAAAAATTTGAGGGCGGAAATCCATGGCAACCATGCCCTCAGAAAACTTCCTGATTCGATATGGCTTACTGTGCACACTTAATAATGTAAAATACTAATTGGATGCATATATCGAGCTCCTAACACTCCTAGTTCGACTGACATTATTATAAGTAAGTCATTTTCTCAGGCTGCCTCGCTTAATTTCACATACAAAATTGTATGTGGTGATTTCAACCTTCTCACCATCAACAGGACGACACACTCTGGCCCATTGTGCTTTGAAAGCATACTTAGGTCCTTAGACATACAAGATTGGCAACAACATGTACTCTTGCCTACACGAAATCACAACATACTTGACTTGATAATTTGTCACAATATCGCACCAACATCAATGGTGGTTGGCGAAAATTATCACAACAGCGATCACAAAACATTCATCTACACCCTTCCGATTTTTGCCATGCGCAACAAATTAAAGACATTAAATACGCGTTTCCAATATAGAGACTATGCAAACGCTGACTGGGAAGACTTTCGATTTCTAAAAAAGCACTCTAACTGGAGCAGTTTCTTTACCAGTGATAACTTCTTAAAAACATTAGAAATATTTAATACCACCACCAAATCTGCACTAGACACTACTATACCATCAAATTGTTTTAAAACAATTACTTCCCACATAAACCAAAAGACTAGGTCGAAGCTGCGAAAACTGAAAATGACGTACTATATATACAAAGACTTCAGCGCCCTGCACCAGATATACTCTGTACTTGACGGGGTACAAACTCAACACAACAAACATAAACAGGCAGAGGAACGTACTGCGCTCACTGCTGCATCTAAAGCATAAACCTTATGTCGTCTCCTCGCAAAACGCACAAGAAAGAACGCAGATCACAACATTCACTCCTTACTGCACGATGAAGTGTCGTATAATGTCCAAGCCGTCATATATGAACTATCAAGTGAATGGTTTTCCCGCGATTGGAATAAATCTCATGCCCTAGAAATCAACATAAAGTGCATCAGCAAAAATTATCTTGGTATCATAAACTTCGACATTGGGAGTATACATACCGCCATTAAAACCCTTAAGCCAAATGCGAGTTTCCGATGCCAAATCTTAGGAATAGGACCCCTTAGAAAAAGAAGGCTTAAGTCTAATTTGATTCACTACTTCAAACTACTCAAAAACCTTACTTGTTCAACGTGTAATATAGTTCTTGCTCGAGATTCACATGAATACGAACTTCGAATAAAAGTATCTTCGGTCAAAGTTGAGAAATACAGATCAAAATCTCGGGTAAACTTTTTCCTCATCAAGTCTTCCCTCCGAAATACGCATGTCAGATGAATTACATACGTTTGTAAAACTGCTTGATCAAGCCTTCATTTGCACTGATCTAGCGCCCTACTCAGACATCATAGGCTCTTTACAGATCTAGACCGAAACGGACTTCAAGTTCAGTTTGCCTTATTTTTCCTACTTTGCAGTTGTATCAGTTACTTTTTCCACCCTATTTCTTCACTTGAAGTAGACAGGTAACTCACTGGACCTATCGATACTGTTCAACTAAACTCGGTCGCTAAGGGACACTCACTACCACCCTAAAAAGTCAAGAGGACCGCACAATCGACTGCCTACTACCAGTGGTCTTGCATCTATGGAGCCTGTTACCAATCAACTGGTTAGGACAACACAAAATAACATCAGCACCAAGTTACTGTGAGTTTCTTCCTGTTTATCCTGTATTAACTTTTTACTCTTCTGTACACTATGTTGACTAGCAATTAATATTATTTCTCCACTCGTTCCCTTATCCACAACTCATATACTTCTATACTTTTTCCGCCTGCTTAAATAAACAACTATCCTACAATATACCCTTCTTAACGCTTATACTCTGATTGGCAAACTCTGTTTTATAATATAGTCAATTAAAGCAGTGCATTGATGCCTTACCCACAGCCCATAACTTGTGACTGCCTGATAAACTTGTAAAATGGTACTTATAGAAATAGTGTTTTCCAATAGGTTGTGAAACACAGAGAACTGTGTGAAGTATGACATATATGCAAAACTAAGCTTAAATTAGCCTAATGTCACAAAAGAAGGGGGAGTGGGGTTACTGACCAGCAAGCATTGGTGGTGAGATTGATGACTTCAATCCACCAATGTCTGTGGAGCAGAACATTTTGTATGTATCGGGCTCTTTATGATTTAGAATAAGGCAATCAATATGTGATATAGATTGTCTTCCTATGCTCACCACTCAGGCTCATGTTTCCAATTTTATGCCGGCTTAGCTATTCTAATAGGACAACCTATAACATGCAAACTCGGACTTTTACACTAGGATTGTGTGGCTGGCATTGGATGGAAAAAAAAGAAAGAACGAAAAAATAACTAAACAATAGAAGACGAAGTTATTAGTATTCTTAACACTTCACCCTCTATATGCACACTCCCTTCTAATAAACAGCTTTCCTTGCAACAACCTTGACTTCCCTTCCTTCATGTGAGCTTACTCCAACTTGTTAAACATCACATTCTTTTATATGTAGCATTTGACTTCATTCCACTCTAACAAGAGATAATATGAATTTAATCTAATTTATTATACCTCTGTCTGTTCTACAACAAAACGTTATGCAATATTTGACGTTCATATCCAAATGCCTTGCTGCTCTGCTGTTTCTCTTTTTTATTTTTCTTCTTCAGAATCTTGTTCTGAGGGCACAGCTATGGAACGTCTGACGTCTGGAACAAACTTGACGTATGTGTCAGCTGAAGGTCATGGTTTATAGCAAGCGCTCTACGAGTCTACTTTACAACAACTATAAACTTAATAATAATAGTAACAAATGTTGCAATTTGTAGATCATGCCTGTAAAAAATGGCGTGTACCTGCTCATGCAAAAATATATTATTACATTGTATCAAGGTTCAATGACTGCCTTGTAGACCGTATAACACAAAAGACGTTACTATGGAAAGAGATTATTAAGAATACGTATAGAAACGCTAGTGTGACCGCCACCGGATGTTCCAATCCATGCGAGCCAGGTTAACATTTACGTTGACGAGGAATATCGCAGTTATAAAAAGAAAGTTGACAGAAAAATGTAAATGTTGGCATTTGACTTATGGATCTACAGTTAGGAACATATTGGGTATAATGAATAATTATAATAAATGCTTTTTGTAGTTAGCCTAGTATCATTCACAAGTATGCAGCATTGAAAACCAGAGTTAGGAATTATCAAATCAACTCTCAATCGAATATGTCCTCCTGAAAACAACACACTTTATCATGATGATGTATTGTCATCTGAAGCCCTATAATTTATCTAATACCATAAAGATTTTGAGAGTAGTTTATATGAAATCCGTAAGGCCAGTCTAAGTGAAAATACATAAGTGAAGTTCCAAAAATGTGATAGACCACCTAACGACATAGCAAAACTCTCCTGTATTATTTGCAAAATTTAGATGATCTGGTAGATTTAAAGTATGAAAAGCCAATTGTGACAAGTAGTACAGACCCAGAACGAACCCTATAGAACAAATGTTTTTATTTGTTTAGTCACATCATTTAACGCCCCATTTTAGACGCGCTATGTAAACTTGTGCGGCTTGTAGCAGGTTCGAGACTTAACAACATCAACTCTTTATTTGGATTATCAATCTCGCTTTCACGTCACTTTTAGTCGTTTTCAGTTGCTTTTTTTTGTTATAAGTAAGTACGTTTTGTGCGCTGCTGAATCTTTGGCATACTTTTTTATTCCAGATAAGTTCATTTACACTTTCCTAGCACTCTAGGTAACATTGTCCTAGGCGTAAACCCTCTAAATTAGTATGAAAAATTTTGATTTGTATTCGGAGTTATAATTCAGTGCTGAGAATCGAAGTTAGGGCTTTCATAACGAATCCGTAATGCCGGTTAACTGACACTAATCAGAATGCTGTTTAGATGTATGAATGAACGGAATGCTCGTGTCATGCAGGTTTCACACCAAGCCATCAATTCTTGTAGCCGGTTACCTGAAGAAGTAGTGCACGTCCATTTACTTGGCTCATTTAAAAAAAGATTAGACACACTCTTACATCGAGATACGAATCAAATGGAATCTTCCTTTTGAAAACTGAATTCTAAATTCTCAGTAGTAAAGTATTAGTTCTCTGAGTTTTTAGTTTCTAGTCACAGAAATTCCTTCTTCTTAAGTTGTTAAATAGCATGTTGCTCCGTTGAGGGCTTTGGATTTTCATAATTAGCTTGTGAGTCTCATCGAAGAAATGGACGTACTGACCATGCGTCCTCAATTATCTAGTCAACAACTTACCAAATATCTGCGGAACCCAATAAGTCATACAACTTTTTGACTTGTGCCATGCGATTTCTACGTCATTTTTCTTACATCAAACCCGATTTAATTCTGGCCTTGTTAACATGTTAACCATATCCGGTTAGTGATGACAAAAAGCGTGCATTAGTCCTGGTGATGAGACCCAGCGTACACTACTTTAATTTGAATACATATTTGATGAGAGCTGTTGCCGTCTGCTTAGATGGTAAGTTATGCCTAATGGAGACATCAAGTAGAATTCAACTGATAAATGGTTCTCAGATTTGTGAACGTTTTCATCTAAGAAATTTCTGTATTTTGAACGACAATAGAAATATGTATGTCAAGTACAAAACCACTAAATAATTATAGAATTTCAGTCAGCTCACCTCAAGGCTTTTTGTCTGATACAGGCAATAGATTTATTTTAGCAACTTCGCCGTTGTATCGGGGCTTCAAGTTTTCAGGGATTTTGTCAAAGTTCCTATAACTCGCTACTGCCTTTATAAATTGCTCTGGTTCTAAGCCAATAAACGCTGGGATGTCATAAATACTTTGGTATCCAGGCTAATGAACACTGCGTATCTCTTGGGTCACGACCTTCAGCACTTACCTGTTGTAAGTCCAGACGAATAATTACAGACATGATGCAGATGTATTCGCGCGTTGTCCACCATTAGATCCTGAGTTTTAATATTTCTTATACCCCTTATTCGGCGAGTTCGTTCCCTAATCATGTTTGTATATCCCCAATCTTTTTTACTACTATCACTGTTACCGGTCTTATTAGTTTCATCATGCTATGCTAATGTGTGAGGACTGAAGCCGGTGGAAAATGTATGCCAGGTTTAGTGTTACTTATCCCTGACCGACCTATCAGCTACTATCTGAGTTTCCTATACCTATAATATCATCTACATAATTATATCAACAGCGTGTAATTCAACGTTATTTGATATGTTTCTTGCCTTAATGGTCATTATGCTTCGTTTTACTCCTGCTTAGAATTATCGAATGTCAGACCATCCTGCTAATTTGTCTAGATTTCTTTGAATTCCTGTCAGTGTATATTTCTTTACTCGTTGCCCTATTAACCATAATTTGAAGTCTAGTTGCTTGTTGTGGTAAATATTTAGACCAGCTTCCGTGAAGTAATGAAGAATTTCGACTAATAGTTGTTTTCATTGCTTATACCGCTAATTTTTTGATAACGAGCAACTTAAATAATCATTTTATTTGTGGAGTATTTTTTCATAGAAGTCATCTTTGCTGAGAACCTAAGTACAGGATGTTTAGTTAGTAAGCTCACGTTTATGAGGAAATTACATAAGATTATTTCTGAAGAGCATATGTGTGATCAACATAGACATTTTAAATTCACATAACTTTATACTCATTTCGGATTACAAAGTCTGAGCAAGCAGGTGACTGGCAAGTGGATTAATTTGATTTTATGTATTTTATCCTCAACAGCGTGACTAATTTTAAACCCATATCTACATATATTTTATGATGACTTTGGTTATTAGTCGGTCTGCTAATCTTATTGTAGAATTTACCTGACCTGTCAATATTTGAGATAACTGGCACTGAATACATTTCAGTACACTATACTTCGGTCCGGTTTGATTGGGGTGAAAGCGTTGCGAAATAAGGCTATGTTTCTATAATTTTAATATAATTTCTAGTTAAACCAGTACCCGTATAATCACCGTAAAGATACAAACGCTGTACTAGAGGGACTGAAATTTTGATATAACTGCTGACATCACTCGTACCAGTGTGATTTCCAATACAATATAAATACAGAAAGGTCTAATACTAGATTTAATATTGTGGGCGAGACTGAATTGACGGTACAATATTAAATCTAGTATTAGACCTTTCTGTATTTATATTGTATTGGAAATCACACTGGTACGAGGGCGAGACTCTAATTTAGGGACGACCTTTGAACGAATTTTGAGTGACCTTGAGAATATTAGCCAATCAGAAGACAGCCAGTATAACGTAGAAATATATTAGAAGAAACTAATGGATTACAGTGAATATACTGATTTCACGTGATTTTAAAACTTATCAAGGTTTGCTAAAGTTTCAGATGTTTTGAAATGATATTGCATACGATATAAAAAGTCATAAATTCCAAGTACCTGTCGAGTATATTCACGGAAATGCTACTTACACAATCCTACTTTATACTACGTCCCCTGTTGTATTTTAGCTTTCTCACTGCCGTTTCATCTGTCTGCACGATACATCCTACTCCTCCGAATGATTGGTGTATACGTGATATTTTAGTTGCACATATGTCACGGCAGTACTTATACCACTGGACTGCTGAAGTTTCATAAACAACTGCAAACGCCGCATTCAGTGTTACTGGTGTATTTATTACCCAATTTGCAACTATTATTATAATCTGATTCAGTTTCAGTAGCAATCGAGCTAAGAAAGTCCTCGTTTTAGTAGACTTTCTCATCCAACATGAAGGACAACGCAATATAATCTCACCACGGTGGTTTGTACACTTTACTGCGGTCATATGATAACCGCAGTCTCACGTACAAGAACTTTTTAGTAATCCCATCCCTTGTAGCCTCTCAATAATCACCTCTTCTCTAAAATCCGCTGTAAACCGATCATATGTGAGCATCAGGTGTTAAACTTGGCTCCGTGACCTTGAAACGGCTCACACGCTTCCGATTGGCTCGTCCCTAAATTAGAGTCTCGCCGACTATTGATATGAAATTGTCTGTACCCTTCAATCAGCACCAAACACTTAGAGTTACCTCGCACAGCTACAACGCTGTGATGTGTTAACCAATTCAGTTACTCAACAGATGGAAGTAAAGTTTAACCTTATGTTTATTATTTGTAAGAAAAACGCATGCACACGATATGCTAGTTATTAAGGACATGATAGCGGTTTTGCCGCTCCAGGAAACCCAATGAACTTTTCAACTAAACAATAGAAAAAAATCAAGCAAGACACTTTGGGAGCACGAACTTTACATATAGTAGCAACAGATAAACAAAAATAAAGACAAGTTGAAGTGTACGACAAAATACGACATACACAAAAGACAACTATATCAGGTGAATGCCAAACCCTGGAAACTGAAAGTATGGATACCGCAGATCAGACCTCAGAAATATCGAAATCCAACCAATCACAGTAACTGAATAATCTCATAATATATTTGTCAAAAATAATTAGCTACAAAAAGGCATTCACTGTTGCAGAAAAACTAAGTCTACCACACACTTTTCTAAAACTTACTTCGTAAGCTTCATTTATGTCTTGGAGTTTTTGGTCAGCTTTTGGATCATCACGATTTTTATCGGGATGCAGCTTGCTAGCAAGTGATCTGTAGGCTTTTTTGATTTCACTTTTATTTGCATTACGAGGTACATTTAGAATGGCATAAAAATCCCTACTATATTAAAATTGAAAAATGTTTGTGGAAATATCAAAACTAACCCACAGTAAACTAAAATAGAACTAAGAAACAACGACAACGTCAAGGCGTGTAACCCCAGATTCATACCGACCTCGTTTATATGTGACAATTCTATTGGTCAGAATACGTACCTAGTAGAAAAAACAAATCGTCAACATTAAATGAAAAACATTTCAATGAACTCAGTTAATGAATAGTTTTGATAACTCTTACCGAATTTAATTTGATATTTTAAGTCTAATATACCTCAGAAGTAAGATTGTAGTAATGAATTGATGCTAGTAACTATTTCATCAATCCTTTTCAGTACTAACGTATCATAGGAAATACACATTATAAATTGGAAAATTTTCCGACTTTTCCGACACTAGTAAGTTACTTCTGCCCAGAGTTGCCACGGATGTGTAGCACTTGACTCTGTTGTCCGTAACGTTATTTTGTTCGAGAAGCCCAAAATTAGTTAAACTACATGTCCGAAATGATGGGACGAAAATAGATAATCGGAAGATGGCTGAAATTTCATGTAATACAAGCAGACCAAAAAGCGGAAGATAAACACATCACAGTACACAGAAATGTGACTTAGTGAGAATAATGGACTTCAGTTGAGAGTATTTCCAGTAAAACTAATGAAGTCAGCATCATTATCGAAAGCTTTAGAAACCATTTATTTTTGAACTTTTCACTATTACACACTAACCGAAACTTTATTTGTGTATGATTCCGAATGTGATTAGAATTCCAAATGCATGTATATTACCAGCGCAGATGGTCTAATTCGAATGATTGGGGACTTATTCGAGTTAGACAGGAACGATGTGACCAACAGCCGAATTCGATATCATGCCTCGAGTTCAGCACCTAACGCGGATTATCTCTTAGCAGCTTCAACCACTCGTCCGCAGCCCAAACACTCAGCTACACCGAAATACCAATCCACTTATGCTTCAATACTGCCCCAGTATTGCTCTAGCGGCTCTGAAAAGAACTGAAAATAATCCTCTCAGTAATTGCCCTAACAGCTACAGTCGGTCAGACACCGCTGTACGAAACAATACTAAAATTTCCATAAAAACCCACCAGTACCCTATCACCTCTAACCTAAAACACGCACCTTTTCATAGAAGTAGAATGCCCTACAACAAACATAGCGAACTGGCAGTACCCACTCATCCTGACGTGAAACAACACTCGACAAGAACTACACTAACACGTGATACCCGTAAGTCATATAGTGTGAACCTTGCAAGCTCCATGAACTAAACACAACGCAAACACCTTTCTTGGCTACAAAATCAGACAATCCTTCATTCCTTACCAGAAACATACAACCGCCCCAACTACTCACAATAGGACTAAAATTGCCCACTGGACACAAGAAAGCCATAACGTTGGCCTGCTTGGGAACCCACCTACTGATTCTAAATACTAAGTCAAGCCACCCTACCAAACTCTTTGATCCCCTCTAATTCGACATATACACCATCTCATCCTTTTTTATCTCGCTCCCCCTTAACAGTGCTGCTATGGGGTCTTCATATGTTGAGGGCGACACTCAAATTATTTTGAAACCATCTATATACTCCGACCTAATGGGGAGTGACACATCTTTCTCAACTTCCATAACTGTCTCTAGCCTTAAATGCTCCTTGGCTGAACCTCCTGATCACTCCCCAAATACATTACCTAACCATTCAACTTTACCTTTTACTCTTAAACATACTTCTTTCATCAAACTAACCTCCGACTACCTTTCTCACATTAACCTATTGGTAATAAACTAAACGCTCATTAATATGGAGTCAACACTCTCAATCCTTCCTTTTCTCATGGCAAAACAGACAATCCACTGGGTTTACATCAAACCCTTCTACTAGACAAACATTCACCCTACCTGACATTTATGTTAATTAACGCTCAATATGAGCAAGGTAAGATGACTCACATACGCACCCTATTACTCTCAAACAACCCCACATTTGTTTGGATAACGTAGTTGGCTGTCCTCCGATACCACAGACTCATATCTACAAATAGACGCCTTTGAGCTCTTTCGCTGTGATCGAGTCACCAAGAAGGGTGGTGGTTGTCTTGTATATGTATCAAAAAATTTGAGGGCGGAAATCCATGGCAACCATGCCCTCAGAAAACTTCCTGATTCGATATGGCTTACTGTGCACACTTAATAATGTAAAATACTAATTGGATGCATATATCGAGCTCCTAACACTCCTAGTTCGACTGACATTATTATAAGTAAGTCATTTTCTCAGGCTGCCTCGCTTAATTTCACATACAAAATTGTATGTGGTGATTTCAACCTTCTCACCATCAACAGGACGACACACTCTGGCCCATTGTGCTTTGAAAGCATACTTAGGTCCTTAGACATACAAGATTGGCAACAACATGTACTCTTGCCTACACGAAATCACAACATACTTGACTTGATAATTTGTCACAATATCGCACCAACATCAATGGTGGTTGGCGAAAATTATCACAACAGCGATCACAAAACATTCATCTACACCCTTCCGATTTTTGCCATGCGCAACAAATTAAAGACATTAAATACGCGTTTCCAATATAGAGACTATGCAAACGCTGACTGGGAAGACTTTCGATTTCTAAAAAAGCACTCTAACTGGAGCAGTTTCTTTACCAGTGATAACTTCTTAAAAACATTAGAAATATTTAATACCACCACCAAATCTGCACTAGACACTACTATACCATCAAATTGTTTTAAAACAATTACTTCCCACATAAACCAAAAGACTAGGTCGAAGCTGCGAAAACTGAAAATGACGTACTATATATACAAAGACTTCAGCGCCCTGCACCAGATATACTCTGTACTTGACGGGGTACAAACTCAACACAACAAACATAAACAGGCAGAGGAACGTACTGCGCTCACTGCTGCATCTAAAGCATAAACCTTATGTCGTCTCCTCGCAAAACGCACAAGAAAGAACGCAGATCACAACATTCACTCCTTACTGCACGATGAAGTGTCGTATAATGTCCAAGCCGTCATATATGAACTATCAAGTGAATGGTTTTCCCGCGATTGGAATAAATCTCATGCCCTAGAAATCAACATAAAGTGCATCAGCAAAAATTATCTTGGTATCATAAACTTCGACATTGGGAGTATACATACCGCCATTAAAACCCTTAAGCCAAATGCGAGTTTCCGATGCCAAATCTTAGGAATAGGACCCCTTAGAAAAAGAAGGCTTAAGTCTAATTTGATTCACTACTTCAAACTACTCAAAAACCTTACTTGTTCAACGTGTAATATAGTTCTTGCTCGAGATTCACATGAATACGAACTTCGAATAAAAGTATCTTCGGTCAAAGTTGAGAAATACAGATCAAAATCTCGGGTAAACTTTTTCCTCATCAAGTCTTCCCTCCGAAATACGCATGTCAGATGAATTACATACGTTTGTAAAACTGCTTGATCAAGCCTTCATTTGCACTGATCTAGCGCCCTACTCAGACATCATAGGCTCTTTACAGATCTAGACCGAAACGGACTTCAAGTTCAGTTTGCCTTATTTTTCCTACTTTGCAGTTGTATCAGTTACTTTTTCCACCCTATTTCTTCACTTGAAGTAGACAGGTAACTCACTGGACCTATCGATACTGTTCAACTAAACACGGTCGCTAAGTTACACTCACTACCGCCCCAGGTCAAGAGAACCGCACAATCGACTGCCTACTACCAGTGGTCTTGCATCTATGGAGCCTGTTACCCATCAACTGGTTAAGACGACACAAAACAACATCAGCACCAAGTTAGTGTGAGTTTCTTCCTGTTTATTCTTTATTAGCTTTTTACTCTTTTGTGCACTATGTTGACTAGCAATTAATATTTCTCCACTCGTTACCTTATCTAAACCTCATATACTTCCATACTTTTCCGTCTGCTTTAATAAACAACTATCCTACATTATACTCTTCTTAATGCTTAAACACTGATTGGCAAACTGTGTTTTATAATATAGTCAATTAAAGCAGTGCATTGATGCCTTACCCACAGCCCATAACTTGTGACTGCCTGATAAACTTGTAAAATGGTACTTATAGAAATAGTGTTTTCCAATAGGTTGTGAAACACAGAGAACTGTGTGAAGTATGACATATATGCAAAACTAAGCTTAAATTAGCCTAATGTCACAAAAGAAGGGGGAGTGGGGTTACTGACCAGCAAGCATTGGTGGTGAGATTGATGACTTCAATCCACCAATGTCTGTGGAGCAGAACATTTTGTATGTATCGGGCTCTTTATGATTTAGAATAAGGCAATCAATATGTGATATAGATTGTCTTCCTATGCTCACCACTCAGGCTCATGTTTCCAATTTTATGCCGGCTTAGCTATTCTAATAGGACAACCTATAACATGCAAACTCGGACTTTTACACTAGGATTGTGTGGCTGGCATTGGATGGAAAAAAAGAAAGAACGAAAAAATAACTAAACAATAGAAGACGAAGTTATTAGTATTCTTAACACTTCACCCTCTATATGCACACTCCCTTCTAATAAACAGCTTTCCTTGCAACAACCTTGACTTCCCTTCCTTCATGTGAGCTTACTCCAACTTGTTAAACATCACATTCTTTTATATGTAGCATTTGACTTCATTCCACTCTAACAAGAGATAATATGAATTTAATCTAATTTATTATACCTCTGTCTGTTCTACAACAAAACGTTATGCAATATTTGACGTTCATATCCAAATGCCTTGCTGCTCTGCTGTTTCTCTTTTTTATTTTTCTTCTTCAGAATCTTGTTCTGAGGGCACAGCTATGGAACGTCTGACGTCTGGAACAAACTTGACGTATGTGTCAGCTGAAGGTCATGGTTTATAGCAAGCGCTCTACGAGTCTACTTTACAACAACTATAAACTTAATAATAATAGTAACAAATGTTGCAATTTGTAGATCATGCCTGTAAAAATGGCGTGTACCTGCTCATGCAAAAATATATTATTACATTGTATCAAGGTTCAATGACTGCCTTGTAGACCGTATAACACAAAAGACGTTACTATGGAAAGAGATTATTAAGAATACGTATAGAAACGCTAGTGTGACCGCCACCGGATGTTCCAATCCATGCGAGCCAGGTTAACATTTACGTTGACGAGGAATATCGCAGTTATAAAAAGAAAGTTGACAGAAAAATGTAAATGTTGGCATTTGACTTATGGATCTACAGTTAGGAACATATTGGGTATAATGAATAATTATAATAAATGCTTTTTGTAGTTAGCCTAGTATCATTCACAAGTATGCAGCATTGAAAACCAGAGTTAGGAATTATCAAATCAACTCTCAATCGAATATGTCCTCCTGAAAACAACACACTTTATCATGATGATGTATTGTCATCTGAAGCCCTATAATTTATCTAATACCATAAAGATTTTGAGAGTAGTTTATATGAAATCCGTAAGGCCAGTCTAAGTGAAAATACATAAGTGAAGTTCCAAAAATGTGATAGACCACCTAACGACATAGCAAAACTCTCCTGTATTATTTGCAAAATTTAGATGATCTGGTAGATTTAAAGTATGAAAAGCCAATTGTGACAAGTAGTACAGACCCAGAACGAACCCTATAGAACAAATGTTTTTATTTGTTTAGTCACATCATTTAACGCCCCATTTTAGACGCGCTATGTAAACTTGTGCGGCTTGTAGCAGGTTCGAGACTTAACAACATCAACTCTTTATTTGGATTATCAATCTCGCTTTCACGTCACTTTTAGTCGTTTTCAGTTGCTTTTTTTTGTTATAAGTAAGTACGTTTTGTGCGCTGCTGAATCTTTGGCATACTTTTTTATTCCAGATAAGTTCATTTACACTTTCCTAGCACTCTAGGTAACATTGTCCTAGGCGTAAACCCTCTAAATTAGTATGAAAAATTTTGATTTGTATTCGGAGTTATAATTCAGTGCTGAGAATCGAAGTTAGGGCTTTCATAACGAATCCGTAATGCCGGTTAACTGACACTAATCAGAATGCTGTTTAGATGTATGAATGAACGGAATGCTCGTGTCATGCAGGTTTCACACCAAGCCATCAATTCTTGTAGCCGGTTACCTGAAGAAGTAGTGCACGTCCATTTACTTGGCTCATTTAAAAAAAGATTAGACACACTCTTACATCGAGATACGAATCAAATGGAATCTTCCTTTTGAAAACTGAATTCTAAATTCTCAGTAGTAAAGTATTAGTTCTCTGAGTTTTTAGTTTCTAGTCACAGAAATTCCTTCTTCTTAAGTTGTTAAATAGCATGTTGCTCCGTTGAGGGCTTTGGATTTTCATAATTAGCTTGTGAGTCTCATCGAAGAAATGGACGTACTGACCATGCGTCCTCAATTATCTAGTCAACAACTTACCAAATAAATGCGGAACCCAATAAGTCATACAACTTTTTGACTTGTGCCATGCGATTTCTACGTCATTTTTCTTACATCAAACCCGATTTAATTCTGGCCTTGTTAACATGTTAACCAGATCCGGTTAGTGATGACAAAAAGCGTGCATTAGTCCTGGTGATGAGACCCAGCGTACACTACTTTAATTTGAATACATATTTGATGAGAGCTGTTGCCGTCTGCTTAGATGGTAAGTTATGCCTAATGGAGACATCAAGTAGAATTCAACTGATAAATGGTTCTCAGATTTGTGAACGTTTTCATCTAAGAAATTTCTGTATTTTGAACGACAATAGAAATATGTATGTCAAGTACAAAACCACTAAATAATTATAGAATTTCAGTCAGCTCACCTCAAGGCTTTTTGTCTGATACAGGCAATAGATTTATTTTAGCAACTTCGCCGTTGTATCGGGGCTTCAAGTTTTCAGGGATTTTGTCAAAGTTCCTATAACTCGCTACTGCCTTTATAAATTGCTCTGGTTCTAAGCCAATAAACGCTGGGATGTCATAAATACTTTGGTATCCAGGCTAATGAACACTGCGTATCTCTTGGGTCACGACCTTCAGCACTTACCTGTTGTAAGTCCAGACGAATAATTACAGACATGATGCAGATGTATTCGCTCGTTGTCCACCATTAGATCCTGAGTTTTAATATTTCTTATACCCCTTATTCGGCGAGTTCGTTCCCCAATCATGTTTGTATATCCCCAATCTTTTTTACTACCATCACTGTTACCGGTCTTATTAGTTTCAACATGCTATGCTAATGTGTGAGGACTGAAGCCGGTGGAAAATGTATGCCAGGTTTAGTGTTACTTATCCCTGACCGACCTATCAGCTACTATCTGAGTTTCCTATACCTATAATATCATCTACATAATTATATCAACAGCGTGTAATTCAACGTTATTTGATATGTTTCTTGCCTTAATGGTCATTATGCTTCGTTTTACTCCTGCTTAGAATTATCGAATGTCAGACCATCCTGCTAATTTGTCTAGATTCCTTTGAATTCCTGTCAGTGTATATTTCTTTACTCGTTGCCCTATTAACCATAAATTGAAGTCTAGTTGCTTGTTGTGGTAAATATTTAGACCAGCTTCCGTGAAGTAATGAAGAATTTCGACTAATAGTTGTTTTCATTGCTTATACCGCTAATTTTTTGATAACGAGCAACTTAAATAATCATTTTATTTGTGGAGTATTTTTTCATAGAAGTCATCTTTGCTGAGAACCTAAGTACAGGATGTTTAGTTAGTAAGCTCACGTTTATGAGGAAATTACATAAGATTATTTCTGAAGAGCATATGTGTGATCAACATAGACATTTTAAATTCACATAACTTTATACTCATTTCGGATTACAAAGTCTGAGCAAGCAGGTGACTGGCAAGTGGATTAATTTGATTTTATGTATTTTATCCTCAACAGCGTGACTAATTTTAAACCCATATCTACATATATTTTATGATGACTTTGGTTATTAGTCGGTCTGCTAATCTTATTTTAGAATTTACCTGACCTGTCAATATTTGAGATAACTGGCACTGAATACATTTCAGTACACTATACTTCGGTCCGGTTTGATTGGGGTGAAATCGTTGCGAAATAAGGCTATGTTTCTATAATTTTAATATAATTTCTAGTTAAACCAGTACCCGTATAATCACAGTAAAGATACAAACGCTGTACTAGAGGGACTGAAATTTTGATATAATTGCTGACATCACTCGTACCAGTGTGATTTCCAATACAATATAAATACAGAAAGGTCTAATACTAGATTTAATATTGTGGGCGAGACTGAATTGACGGTATAATATTAAATCTAGTATTAGACCTTTCTGTATTTATATTGTATTGGAAATCACACTGGTACGAGGGCGAGACTCTAATTTAGGGACGACCTTTGAACGAATTTTGAGTGACCTTGAGAATATTAGCCAATCAGAAGACAGCCAGTATAACGTAGAAATATATTAGAAGAAACTAATGGATTACAGTGAATATACTGATTTCACGTGATTTTAAAACTTATCAAGGTTTGCTAAAGTTTCAGATGTTTTGAAATGATATTGCATACGATATAAAAAGTCATAAATTCCAAGTACCTGTCGAGTATATTCACGGAAATGCTACTTACACAATCCTACTTTATACTACGTCCCCTGTTGTATTTTAGCTTTCTCACTGCCGTTTCATCTGTCTGCACGATACATCCTACTCCTCCGAATGATTGGTGTATACGTGATATTTTAGTTGCACATATGTCACGGCAGTACTTATACCACTGGACTGCTGAAGTTTCATAAACAACTGCAAACGCCGCATTCAGTGTTACTGGTGTATTTATTACCCAATTTGCAACTATTATTATAATCTGATTCAGTTTCAGTAGCAATCGAGCTAAGAAAGTCCTCGTTTTAGTAGACTTTCTCATCCAACATGAAGGACAACGCAATATAATCTCACCACGGTGGTTTGTACACTTTACTGCGGTCATATGATAACCGCAGTCTCACGTACAAGAACTTTTTAGTAATCCCATCCCTTGTAGCCTCTCAATAATCACCTCTTCTCTAAAATCCGCTGTAAACCGATCATATGTGAGCATCAGGTGTTAAACTTGGCTCCGTGACCTTGAAACGGCTCACACGCTTCCGATTGGCTCGTCCCTAAATTAGAGTCTCGCCGACTATTGATATGAAATTGTCTGTACCCTTCAATCAGCACCAAACACTTAGAGTTACCTCGCACAGCTACAACGCTGTGATGTGTTAACCAATTCAGTTACTCAACAGATGGAAGTAAAGTTTAACCTTATGTTTATTATTTGTAAGAAAAACGCATGCACACGATATGCTAGTTATTAAGGACATGATAGCGGTTTTGCCGCTCCAGGAAACCCAATGAACTTTTCAACTAAACAATAGAAAAAAAATCAAGCAAGACACTTTGGGAGCACGAACTTTACATATAGTAGCAACAGATAAACAAAAATAAAGACAAGTTGAAGTGTACGACAAAATACGACATACACAAAAGACAACTATATCAGGTGAATGCCAAACCCTGGAAACTGAAAGTATGGATACCGCAGATCAGACCTCAGAAATATCGAAATCCAACCAATCACAGTAACTGAATAATCTCATAATATATTTGTCAAAAATGATTAGCTACAAAAAGGCATTCACTGTTGCAGAAAAACTAAGTCTACCACACACTTTTCTAAAACTTACTTCGTAAGCTTCATTTATGTCTTGGAGTTTTTGGTCAGCTTTTGGATCATCACGATTTTTATCGGGATGCAGCTTGCTAGCAAGTGATCTGTAGGCTTTTTTGATTTCACTTTTATTTGCATTACGAGGTACATTTAGAATGGCATAAAAATCCCTACTATATTAAAATTGAAAAATGTTTGTGGAAATATCAAAACTAACCCACAGTAAACTAAAATAGAACTAAGAAACAACGACAACGTCAAGGCGTGTAACCCCAGATTCATACCGACCTCGTTTATATGTGACAATTCTATTGGTCAGAATACGTACCTAGTAGAAAAAACAAATCGTCAACATTAAATGAAAAACATTTCAATGAACTCAGTTAATGAATAGTTTTGATAACTCTTACCGAATTTAATTTGATATTTTAAGTCTAATATACCTCAGAAGTAAGATTGTAGTAATGAATTGATGCTAGTAACTATTTCATCAATCCTTTTCAGTACTAACGTATCATAGGAAATACACATTATAAATTGGAAAATTTTCCGACTTTTCCGACACTAGTAAGTTACTTCTGCCCAGAGTTGCCACGGATGTGTAGCACTTGACTCTGTTGTCCGTAACGTTATTTTGTTCGAGAAGCCCAAAATTAGTTAAACTACATGTCCGAAATGATGGGACGAAAATAGATAATCGGAAGATGGCTGAAATTTCATGTAATACAAGCAGACCAAAAAGCGGAAGATAAACACATCACAGTACACAGAAATGTGACTTAGTGAGAATAATGGACTTCAGTTGAGAGTATTTCCAGTAAAACTAATGAAGTCAGCATCATTATCGAAAGCTTTAGAAACCATTTATTTTTTGAACTTTTCACTATTACACACTAACCGAAACTTTATTTGTGTATGATTCCGAATGTGATTAGAATTCCAAATGCATGTATATTACCAGCGCAGATGGTCTAATTCGAATGATTGGGGACTTATTCGAGTTAGACAGGAACGATGTGACCAACAGCCGAATTCGATATCATGCCTCGAGTTCAGCACCTAACGCGGATTATCTCTTAGCAGCTTCAACCACTCGTCCGCAGCCCAAACACTCAGCTACACCGAAATACCAATCCACTTATGCTTCAATACTGCCCCAGTATTGCTCTAGCGGCTCTGAAAAGAACTGAAAATAATCCTCTCAGTAATTGCCCTAACAGCTACAGTCGGTCAGACACCGCTGTACGAAACAATACTAAAATTTCCATAAAAACCCACCAGTACCCTATCACCTCTAACCTAAAACACGCACCTTTTCATAGAAGTAGAATGCCCTACAACAAACATAGCGAACTGGCAGTACCCACTCATCCTGACGTGAAACAACACTCGACAAGAACTACACTAACACGTGATACCCGTAAGTCATATAGTGTGAACCTTGCAAGCTCCATGAACTAAACACAACGCAAACACCTTTCTTGGCTACAAAATCAGACAATCCTTCATTCCTTACCAGAAACATACAACCGCCCCAACTACTCACAATAGGACTAAAATTGCCCACTGGACACAAGAAAGCCATAACGTTGGCCTGCTTGGGAACCCACCTACTGATTCTAAATACTAAGTCAAGCCACCCTACCAAACTCTTTGATCCCCTCTAATTCGACATATACACCATCTCATCCTTTTTTATCTCGCTCCCCCTTAACAGTGCTGCTATGGGGTCTTCATATGTTGAGGGCGACACTCAAATTATTTTGAAACCATCTATATACTCCGACCTAATGGGGAGTGACACATCTTTCTCAACTTCCATAACTGTCTCTAGCCTTAAATGCTCCTTGGCTGAACCTCCTGATCACTCCCCAAATACATTACCTAACCATTCAACTTTACCTTTTACTCTTAAACATACTTCTTTCATCAAACTAACCTCCGACTACCTTTCTCACATTAACCTATTGGTAATAAACTAAACGCTCATTAATATGGAGTCAACACTCTCAATCCTTCCTTTTCTCATGGCAAAACAGACAATCCACTGGGTTTACATCAAACCCTTCTACTAGACAAACATTCACCCTACCTGACATTTATGTTAATTAACGCTCAATATGAGCAAGGTAAGATGACTCACATACGCACCCTATTACTCTCAAACAACCCCCACATTTGTTTGGATAACGTAGTTGGCTGTCCTCCGATACCACAGACTCATATCTACAAATAGACGCCTTTGAGCTCTTTCGCTGTGATCGAGTCACCAAGAAGGGTGGTGGTTGTCTTGTATATGTATCAAAAAATTTGAGGGCGGAAATCCATGGCAACCATGCCCTCAGAAAACTTCCTGATTCGATATGGCTTACTGTGCACACTTAATAATGTAAAATACTAATTGGATGCATATATCGAGCTCCTAACACTCCTAGTTCGACTGACATTATTATAAGTAAGTCATTTTCTCAGGCTGCCTCGCTTAATTTCACATACAAAATTGTATGTGGTGATTTCAACCTTCTCACCATCAACAGGACGACACACTCTGGCCCATTGTGCTTTGAAAGCATACTTAGGTCCTTAGACATACAAGATTGGCAACAACATGTACTCTTGCCTACACGAAATCACAACATACTTGACTTGATAATTTGTCACAATATCGCACCAACATCAATGGTGGTTGGCGAAAATTATCACAACAGCGATCACAAAACATTCATCTACACCCTTCCGATTTTTGCCATGCGCAACAAATTAAAGACATTAAATACGCGTTTCCAATATAGAGACTATGCAAACGCTGACTGGGAAGACTTTCGATTTCTAAAAAAGCACTCTAACTGGAGCAGTTTCTTTACCAGTGATAACTTCTTAAAAACATTAGAAATATTTAATACCACCACCAAATCTGCACTAGACACTACTATACCATCAAATTGTTTTAAAACAATTACTTCCCACATAAACCAAAAGACTAGGTCGAAGCTGCGAAAACTGAAAATGACGTACTATATATACAAAGACTTCAGCGCCCTGCACCAGATATACTCTGTACTTGACGGGGTACAAACTCAACACAACAAACATAAACAGGCAGAGGAACGTACTGCGCTCACTGCTGCATCTAAAGCATAAACCTTATGTCGTCTCCTCGCAAAACGCACAAGAAAGAACGCAGATCACAACATTCACTCCTTACTGCACGATGAAGTGTCGTATAATGTCCAAGCCGTCATATATGAACTATCAAGTGAATGGTTTTCCCGCGATTGGAATAAATCTCATGCCCTAGAAATCAACATAAAGTGCATCAGCAAAAATTATCTTGGTATCATAAACTTCGACATTGGGAGTATACATACCGCCATTAAAACCCTTAAGCCAAATGCGAGTTTCCGATGCCAAATCTTAGGAATAGGACCCCTTAGAAAAAGAAGGCTTAAGTCTAATTTGATTCACTACTTCAAACTACTCAAAAACCTTACTTGTTCAACGTGTAATATAGTTCTTGCTCGAGATTCACATGAATACGAACTTCGAATAAAAGTATCTTCGGTCAAAGTTGAGAAATACAGATCAAAATCTCGGGTAAACTTTTTCCTCATCAAGTCTTCCCTCCGAAATACGCATGTCAGATGAATTACATACGTTTGTAAAACTGCTTGATCAAGCCTTCATTTGCACTGATCTAGCGCCCTACTCAGACATCATAGGCTCTTTACAGATCTAGACCGAAACGGACTTCAAGTTCAGTTTGCCTTATTTTTCCTACTTTGCAGTTGTATCAGTTACTTTTTCCACCCTATTTCTTCACTTGAAGTAGACAGGTAACTCACTGGACCTATCGATACTGTTCAACTAAACACGGTCGCTAAGTTACACTCACTACCGCCCCAGGTCAAGAGAACCGCACAATCGACTGCCTACTACCAGTGGTCTTGCATCTATGGAGCCTGTTACCCATCAACTGGATAAGACGACACAAAACAACATCAGCACCAAGTTAGTGTGAGTTTCTTCCTGTTTATTCTTTATTAGCTTTTTACTCTTTTGTGCACTATGTTGACTAGCAATTAATATTTCTCCACTCGTTACCTTATCTAAACCTCATATACTTCCATACTTTTCCGTCTGCTTTAATAAACAACTATCCTACATTATACTCTTCTTAATGCTTAAACACTGATTGGCAAACTGTGTTTTATAATATAGTCAATTAAAGCAGTGCATTGATGCCTTACCCACAGCCCATAACTTGTGACTGCCTGATAAACTTGTAAAATGGTACTTATAGAAATAGTGTTTTCCAATAGGTTGTGAAACACAGAGAACTGTGTGAAGTATGACATATATGCAAAACTAAGCTTAAATTAGCCTAATGTCACAAAAGAAGGGGGAGTGGGGTTACTGACCAGCAAGCATTGGTGGTGAGATTGATGACTTCAATCCACCAATGTCTGTGGAGCAGAACATTTTGTATGTATCGGGCTCTTTATGATTTAGAATAAGGCAATCAATATGTGATATAGATTGTCTTCCTATGCTCACCACTCAGGCTCATGTTTCCAATTTTATGCCGGCTTAGCTATTCTAATAGGACAACCTATAACATGCAAACTCGGACTTTTACACTAGGATTGTGTGGCTGGCATTGGATGGAAAAAAAGAAAGAACGAAAAAATAACTAAACAATAGAAGACGAAGTTATTAGTATTCTTAACACTTCACCCTCTATATGCACACTCCCTTCTAATAAACAGCTTTCCTTGCAACAACCTTGACTTCCCTTCCTTCATGTGAGCTTACTCCAACTTGTTAAACATCACATTCTTTTATATGTAGCATTTGACTTCATTCCACTCTAACAAGAGATAATATGAATTTAATCTAATTTATTATACCTCTGTCTGTTCTACAACAAAACGTTATGCAATATTTGACGTTCATATCCAAATGCCTTGCTGCTCTGCTGTTTCTCTTTTTTATTTTTCTTCTTCAGAATCTTGTTCTGAGGGCACAGCTATGGAACGTCTGACGTCTGGAACAAACTTGACGTATGTGTCAGCTGAAGGTCATGGTTTATAGCAAGCGCTCTACGAGTCTACTTTACAACAACTATAAACTTAATAATAATAGTAACAAATGTTGCAATTTGTAGATCATGCCTGTAAAAATGGCGTGTACCTGCTCATGCAAAAATATATTATTACATTGTATCAAGGTTCAATGACTGCCTTGTAGACCGTATAACACAAAAGACGTTACTATGGAAAGAGATTATTAAGAATACGTATAGAAACGCTAGTGTGACCGCCACCGGATGTTCCAATCCATGCGAGCCAGGTTAACATTTACGTTGACGAGGAATATCGCAGTTATAAAAAGAAAGTTGACAGAAAAATGTAAATGTTGGCATTTGACTTATGGATCTACAGTTAGGAACATATTGGGTATAATGAATAATTATAATAAATGCTTTTTGTAGTTAGCCTAGTATCATTCACAAGTATGCAGCATTGAAAACCAGAGTTAGGAATTATCAAATCAACTCTCAATCGAATATGTCCTCCTGAAAACAACACACTTTATCATGATGATGTATTGTCATCTGAAGCCCTATAATTTATCTAATACCATAAAGATTTTGAGAGTAGTTTATATGAAATCCGTAAGGCCAGTCTAAGTGAAAATACATAAGTGAAGTTCCAAAAATGTGATAGACCACCTAACGACATAGCAAAACTCTCCTGTATTATTTGCAAAATTTAGATGATCTGGTAGATTTAAAGTATGAAAAGCCAATTGTGACAAGTAGTACAGACCCAGAACGAACCCTATAGAACAAATGTTTTTATTTGTTTAGTCACATCATTTAACGCCCCATTTTAGACGCGCTATGTAAACTTGTGCGGCTTGTAGCAGGTTCGAGACTTAACAACATCAACTCTTTATTTGGATTATCAATCTCGCTTTCACGTCACTTTTAGTCGTTTTCAGTTGCTTTTTTTTGTTATAAGTAAGTACGTTTTGTGCGCTGCTGAATCTTTGGCATACTTTTTTATTCCAGATAAGTTCATTTACACTTTCCTAGCACTCTAGGTAACATTGTCCTAGGCGTAAACCCTCTAAATTAGTATGAAAAATTTTGATTTGTATTCGGAGTTATAATTCAGTGCTGAGAATCGAAGTTAGGGCTTTCATAACGAACCCGTAATGCCGGTTAACTGACACTAATCAGAATGCTGTTTAGATGTATGAATGAACGGAATGCTCGTGTCATGCAGGTTTCACACCAAGCCATCAATTCTTGTAGCCGGTTACCTGAAGAAGTAGTGCACGTCCATTTACTTGGCTCATTTAAAAAAAGATTAGACACACTCTTACATCGAGATACGAATCAAATGGAATCTTCCTTTTGAAAACTGAATTCTAAATTCTCAGTAGTAAAGTATTAGTTCTCTGAGTTTTTAGTTTCTAGTCACAGAAATTCCTTCTTCTTAAGTTGTTAAATAGCATGTTGCTCCGTTGAGGGCTTTGGATTTTCATAATTAGCTTGTGAGTTTCATCGAAGAAATGGACGTACTGACCATGCGTCCTCAATTATCTAGTCAACAACTTACCAAATAAATGCGGAACCCAATAAGTCATACAACTTTTTGACTTGTGCCATGCGATTTCTACGTCATTTTTCTTACATCAAACCCGATTTAATTCTGGCCTTGTTAACATGTTAACCAGATCCGGTTAGTGATGACAAAAAGCGTGCATTAGTCCTGGTGATGAGACCCAGCGTACACTACTTTAATTTGAATACATATTTGATGAGAGCTGTTGCCGTCTGCTTAGATGGTAAGTTATGCCTAATGGAGACATCAAGTAGAATTCAACTGATAAATGGTTCTCAGATTTGTGAACGTTTTCATCTAAGAAATTTCTGTATTTTGAACGACAATAGAAATATGTATGTCAAGTACAAAACCACTAAATAATTATAGAATTTCAGTCAGCTCACCTCAAGGCTTTTTGTCTGATACAGGCAATAGATTTATTTTAGCAACTTCGCCGTTGTATCGGGGCTTCAAGTTTTCAGGGATTTTGTCAAAGTTCCTATAACTCGCTACTGCCTTTATAAATTGCTCTGGTTCTAAGCCAATAAACGCTGGGATGTCATAAATACTTTGGTATCCAGGCTAATGAACACTGCGTATCTCTTGGGTCACGACCTTCAGCACTTACCTGTTGTAAGTCCAGACGAATAATTACAGACATGATGCAGATGTATTCGCTCGTTGTCCACCATTAGATCCTGAGTTTTAATATTTCTTATACCCCTTATTCGGCGAGTTCGTTCCCCAATCATGTTTGTATATCCCCAATCTTTTTTACTACCATCACTGTTACCGGTCTTATTAGTTTCAACATGCTATGCTAATGTGTGAGGACTGAAGCCGGTGGAAAATGTATGCCAGGTTTAGTGTTACTTATCCCTGACCGACCTATCAGCTACTATCTGAGTTTCCTATACCTATAATATCATCTACATAATTATATCAACAGCGTGTAATTCAACGTTATTTGATATGTTTCTTGCCTTAATGGTCATTATGCTTCGTTTTACTCCTGCTTAGAATTATCGAATGTCAGACCATCCTGCTAATTTGTCTAGATTCCTTTGAATTCCTGTCAGTGTATATTTCTTTACTCGTTGCCCTATTAACCATAAATTGAAGTCTAGTTGCTTGTTGTGGTAAATATTTAGACCAGCTTCCGTGAAGTAATGAAGAATTTCGACTAATAGTTGTTTTCATTGCTTATACCGCTAATTTTTTGATAACGAGCAACTTAAATAATCATTTTATTTGTGGAGTATTTTTTCATAGAAGTGATTTTCTACATCTGAATTATGTAAGTTGTCCAAATATTTTTGCTTTTGATACGTAGGATTCAAAAATGGAGTGGGATAGCGAAAGTGCGCTACAGGGGTTTTTAATAACGATGATCGTCTGCATAGTATCCAGTGTGCTTTATTTAATGTTCAGGAATACTTTGTTCCCTCACCGTATTTCTGTCCATCATGATTCAGAAAACTTAGCCCACAGGAGAAAGAAAAATGACGTAAAAAAGTCGAAGAAAGTTAAAAAACGGAAAGTGTTAGTTGATTCTCAACAAACTGAAGAAATAGAAACGGACAAAACTCAAACGTCAGACGACACAACTGGTGAGGAGGATGAACATTTATCAGACGTGCTTCTTGACGATTATTCATCAAGTAGCAGTGAGCAGTCAGTTGAAAGACCTATCCAGCCAGTGTTATATGAAGAAAACTGTGGTAAGGGAGATTCAGAACTCATTGATACTTCTACTCCTAAGATCGAACAATCTTATATCGAAGGTCCCAGTTTAGATTTTTCACAAGCTACATTAAATAGAAATCAGAGTGAGGATTCAGATTCGATTGTTTCTCCAGGTTCTTCAGAACGTAGTCCAACCACAGATATTCTATCTCCAGTAAATGATTCGAAAGCTCCTCTCACTAAGTCCAGAAAGTCAAAGCGTCGTTCAGGCAAGCGGTCGGTCAGATATGCGGATTTGTCTAAAGAAGCTTTATTTGTTGAGCCTGCTAACATGGAACATTCTTCAGAATCATTAGAAATATCAAAAACTGACTGTGCTAAGCCATATAAAATGGGTGGAAAACAGGAATCATCAAGTGACTCGACATCAACATTGGAGTTGCGTACGACAATCAAAGAATTAGAAGGACAATTAAAGGTGAGTCGTCGTGTCAAACGACATGTAGTTTTGGGGTGATTGGTTCCCTATACTACTAGAAATTAAAGATTAAGTATCAGGCTGTACGGTTGGTCGGAAGATTCATTTTTTAAATTTTGTTTGCCGGATACGACTCTTTTTTTCTATTTCGAGAATATAATGAACGTGAAAGTGTATGGATCAAGTAAATTAATCAAACTGGTAACTAATGTTTCATAGATTCACTGACATGGACAAGGAGATATCATTTTTGCGGCTATTGCTGTAAAATAATTTAAATCTTAAGAAATCTTCAATTATTTTGTGTTAGCTAAGTCGTTATGATTACTGTATTATCACCATTTAGTAGCTGTTTCAAAATATTTCTAAAAAGTTAGATTGAACACATATCCAATGTTTGAATCAAATCGTCAATTTTGAAAGACCCTTTTAGGGAGTTTCTAAACCCTTATTCCAACTAGGTATAAAAAAATGAACTCAATGATGTTAGGATAAATTAAAAATTGGTACCTGATGTAATCACCAGCTATTTGCAGGATGTAGTGTCTGATAATTCCTTACTTCACATGAACTGATAAGTTCATATTCTTGAGAGCTTGGGGATGATTGCAACCTCTTTGTCATTACATTAGCTATCCTTTCTAAAAGAAACATATATATGATCCATATCATATTTTAATCAGTTTATCATATCTATGTCGATTCTGCTGCCTCGATGTGGTGATCGGATTTACCTATCGTTATGACCCTATCGGGCCATGCTTGCTCAAGCAATTGTTCCTTTAGGTAGGTCCCTTAGGTTCTGTGGTCGCTCTCCATGTCTCTACTACCGCTACTAGTCTAGTCTCCTTTCCAGGTCTCAAGAACAAATGTCCTTCCATATTATGGGCAGCCGAGGAGTGACAATGGTCCTCAAACTTATAACAACGTTGGAGATACTCTTGTTTACAATCATATCCGTTCATCACATTTTAATATTCCATTTATCCTCACTATCAACCCTCCTACTATGACTTTATCTACATTCATCACCAAGGTTAACTATTCCAATTCACGAAATGTCTTTCCTGATGCTTTGAAAACGCGCTCTAAACCTTATTTTGAATCTTTCAATGTTCGGATCATATGTCAAATAGACCAACAGGGATTCTTAGTTAGAACTGTAGGACCCCCCCATCGGTGTAGAGTACCACGGAAACGTGAATATAGGATTCAAGTTTGGCTATTCGCCTGACCTCACCTAGTCGATACACAGAACCGGCGCGATTTACCCTCCATGTACCTGTAGACTTGACTACTGCTTCTCGTGGCCTCACCAGTTTAGGCATATCACTTAGTCCAAAAGTAGAACGGACTCCTAGAATGGGTCCCGACAGACAGTCGCTTGTGCTTTATCTTGCCAAATGGAGAAGTAAGAACATGGAAAGATAGGAACATGCCGCTGCCTGCTCGTCGTCACTCCCTACGCTCCTACTGACTACAATTCGAATGAAGTAGAGGGTAAGTTTTACATAAAGCTTTCTCTTCTATTAAAAGTCAAGCGCTCAAAAGTCGTTATTGTAACAGCAGACTTTAGCACTTAAGTAGTTAGGTTATACTAAAGTGAGATACGCTTCGGAGGGTCTTACAGTGTCCTACAACAAACAGACATTGATGACTGTCTGCTCCAATTATGCTCAGATAACCGTTTATTTTTAGTGAGCACCAACTTTGAGCATAAAGAGAGACACCTGACACGGCGACCCCCACAATCAACTCAACGTTAGAGGTTCGACTGAAAACTAGCGCCCTTTCTGAGACATATCTAGACTTTGGTTATGCTCTAGTGCGAACATTCATCTGTTTACATTTTGCAGGAAAGCTACAGCAAAAAGACCTCGGAGTTTAGCTCAACGACAAAAATTAGAGAGTATATTCAAGGAACGACTAGAGAAACAACAAGTCAATGTGATGTTCGCTCCGATATCGGTTGGCATGATATCCGGATAACTAAAGATCATTAATATCTACGAGGGACTATAACTAAAAGGTTAAGAAAAATCAGCAGATTTTACTGGCGTCTACTGACTTGATAGATGCTCTGAAACATCCTATGAGGCTCAAAATATGATAAAGAGTGAAGGAAGCCTAAACGTAGAGTGGCAGAAAGTTTTCTCAATAATCTTGAAAAGTGGTAGGTATCAAAAAAGGCAGTGGCGATAGGCAACAATATACAACTTTTCAGACTTGCTAAACAAATAGGTATTAAAGACTCGGGACTTACTAAAGCTATTTCTGAAAAATACAGGATAATCATCCGCCCTCAACCCAAGGGACTGAAACAATTGGCGAAACATTTTCACAAGCAGTTTAATTGCTCTCTGAGTACCATTCAGTTGCCTACTTTAACCAAGCAATCTAAATGGGATGTCAGCATAAACCCCTTGACTCCTAATGAAGTAGAAAAAGTCATAGTTCATCTAAAGTTAGGGATACCAGCAAATCCTGACGGATTAACTTCAGAGATACATGGGAATATTAACTCAATTTTAGCTGTTAAATTGACTGAAATATCAAATAGAGTCTAGTAACTGGGCATAATCCCATATAATTGGTCACGATATGGTGAGATTGGGCAACCCTGTCGTTTAGGTGGTCGTTGGGGACTTGTTGGTCGCAGGCCAGATAACGGTGACCGTCTACTGCAACTGTGCTTAGACCACAGCCTGTTTCCGGCTAGTAATAACTACCGACACAGTCATCGCCGATATGCCACCTGGCTCCCTCCCCTTGCGTCCCAAGCCTGAACTCAGATTGATCACATCGCGGTCAGCTACCACTGGCGCGGTTGTGTACAAGACTGCTGCTCCTTTTGGAGTACCTATCTAGACTCTGATCATGCCCTTGTTTGCACCAATCTTACCGTACTTTTTAGTGGCCAATAAATTCATCGTCCTAAACGGGTTGATGTCAGCAAATTAGTTGCAGCTCCTGTTGCAACTAAATATCAAACCGGAGTAGGTTCAAGGCTAGCTAACATTCCACCAAAAAGTATAGATAAGCATCGGTTTCAATTGCATGACACCATAAAAATGGCGAGTAAAATCGCTTGTGGCTTCGCGAACTGTCTTGCTTATAAGTACTGGGTTTCTTCAGGTTCCTTACAACTCATCGAAGCCGGTTGGTCCACTCCGGGTGACTGAGTTTGACCATAAAGGACGACTGTTACGTAATGAAATCGGGCAAAGCTTGCGTAAGGATCGAGAAACCTAGTGGTCAGAGTGTGCCAATGAATTGGAAGTAGCAGTTGCATCTAGCAAATGGCTGGAATTTCTTCCAACGCATCCGAGCCACTGACAGCAACAAGTCTAGTGTGAGCGAAACAATCTGTGAAGATGACGGGTTGCCAATCACTAACATCTGTCGACGTCTTGGACGATGAGCATAGTTTTGCGAGGGACAGTCCAACTGGTCTGCTGCCCCGGCAACATCTATCAGACTGTCCTACCCTCCATGGCATGTGACGACTGATCCACCTAACGAGGCGTAAGTCCGCAAGGAACCCCAACTCTTAAAGCGCTACGAATCACCAGGCCCAAATGACTTACCTCCGGCTCTTTAAAGATGATGGTCTTTCTGGTTAAGGAACTGACGACGTTGTTTACAAAGGTCTGGGAACTAGAGAGTGTACCAACGTCATGGAATGAGTCGATAGTTGTCCCTATCTTTAAAATGGGTCCACGTCGTTCCTGTAACAACTATAGGGGGATAAGTCTACTTCCGATTGCGTCCAAACTGTTGGCCTCTGTCATACTTCGTAGGTTGTTCAGAACTCGATAAGGATTGGCTCGCGAGAAGCAGGCTAGTTCTCACCCTGGTAGAGGATATATTTATCATATCTTCACCCTCCACCAAATGTTAGAACATCGTCATAATTATCAAAGGCGAACAATCGTAGTGTTTCTTGACATCAGGGCAGCCAAACCAAAACGTTGCATCAATGCTTGAGGTCACGAACTTCTGGTCTAAGCCATGTTGGTAGATGCAGAATACTTGGGTGGGGTCCGCGTGATTATCGTAACCAATGGTTGGAAACTCTTGGTGACATGACTCAGAATCGATCACAATGGCATACGTGTATACACTGTCTTCCCTTAAACTGTGAGATTAAAATCGCTTCATATCTTTCTACGTACTAATTCTTTCTTGTACTGCATCCTTATATGCAATATTTCTTTTATATATTAGCACCATTGAATTAACTACTATGAATTTGCTGTTCATTTTATTGTGCTGATAAGGTATGGCAATTTAGACCGATGCATATATGTGCCTGGTCCTACGTTGTAGCTGACTGACTCGGGGCTGCCTTCGACAGGAATATTCTCTGGGATTGTCTATTGAAGAAGGGTGTGAAAAGTTTATTAACATCTTAAATACTATATATACAAACATCTCAGGCAGAGTAAGGGCATACAACCACCTCTCTCCACTATTCCATTCAAGCAGTTCCAAAGACAGTAAAACTACTTCTCTCCTTCCGATTGTCATTTTTTTGATGGATCTTGGAATAACTGCTAAGTATAGGTTGTTATCAAAGTACTTATATTTCAAACTTGAATCAATTGTAGCATACATTATTTTTCACCTAATTTGAGAGTTAACGTTTAAAAATACATTATCTACTTTTCTGCTCAGTTATATATGTGATTATATTTTGTGAAGAATACTGAGATATTTTTATTTAACCAACAGATTAGTGAAACCAAGCTGGCAGAAACCTCCCAGTGGGCGAATTCCCTAGTTGAAGAAAACAAGCACTTTCGTACGAAGAAAGATGAATCTTCTCTAAGTTTACATGTACTGCAAATGCAATATAATGAACTCCTAAGAACGAATAAAACACTCGAAAACCAGAAGAATTTGCTGAGTGTAAAGTTAAAAGTAAGTACTTCAATGCATCCATGGGGATAAAAACTGTTTCAGTATATTCGTGTTATTTTAGGGCAATCATGAAGATATACTACATCCCTATGTTAATATTTTAGATGAATAGACTAGACAGCTTCATAGTTATTCTAGTTTTGCTGGGCTCAATATTCTAACCTTTGATTGCTTCAAGTACGTATAATTTTGGTCTTACTCAACAAGCAATAATCTGTTGTTTGTTTACTTGCCAGTTGTCGTAGATAAGTTTTTGCAGACAGGTCTTTGTCTCTTAGGCATTAAATTCCCTAACTAATCGTTAACAAAACAAAATCTGAACACTGATAAATATCTTAGAATTTTTAACGTTCATGTTAACCATCAGATAAATAGCACCAATATAAAGTTATGATTCACCAACCCTATGAATATCCAGAAACTTTTACATTGTCTTCTTTATTTACAAAAATTTCCGAGTTGATTAGCTTTTTTATCGACCATCTTGGGTAAATCATTTACTTCACTGTTTCACTCAATGTAAGCTCCGTTGTTCAGGCATTCGTTTGCCGGTACCCTGTTTTTTAGTATTGATTCATGTAAAAGACAACCTCAAAGCAAAGTATTATTCCAACATTCAGCAAAACTTCAACTACCTTTTATTTGGATATTCATTGATTTATATTGCTTCGTGGGAGAAAGTCTTGATCAATGACTAACATGAGCTTCGAAATACAGTAGAAGCTATAATAATCTATATCACTTTATTGTATAACTTGACAAATATTAGGGTAATAACCAAAATTCTTGAGATTTAGCTTCTAATTTAGGGTTTAGCGGTTCTTATCAACTTCATATCATATGACTTATAAATTTTTAATGAATAATATTTAATATGATAACGATGGATACCCGTTTTCGATAATTATTTTCGCATTTCTCAGTTGCTGCTTTTAAATACAATTGTTTCCTAGAATACTGAAACTGAAAACTGTGATCTGCAAAAACGTTTAGACCAGACAAATGCAGATACTTTAAAGGTAAAAAAGGAGGCTGAATTGGAATTGTGTAATTTGCGAGAACAGTTAACAAAACACGAAACTCAATTGACTGCAATGGCTAAGGCTGTGGCTGCTTCTACTCCATCGATTCCTACTGGTCCTATACCAGAACTTATTCGTGCTCAGGAATTAGCGCAAGTAAGACTCTTCTTTCTTAATCATTATAAAATTTACTAACAATATAATTTTCTACCATATATAAATATGTATTCATTTGTACCTCAGTTTTTATCGGTTGATGTTAAGCCGGATTATAAAATTAATTGATGAAAATTCCTGTTAGGTAAATCGCCCATTTTTCCTCTAAAACTATGTATCATAGACTTTTAGTAGACTTTAGGACGTTTATACCGATTTTAGTACAAATCTTCATTCAAAATTACGGTAAATATTACATTTAAATACGGACATCAATTATGCTTGATTTATGTATACACTAGTGACACTGAGTAACAGCTAAGTTCTTTTAGAAATGTTGATGTATGTGCATAATTAATGTCCTCTGTAGGATATTCACGGATGTTCTCTCGTAAACTGTACTTAATTCGACTATTCAAGTTTGGAGTGATTTATGATCACAAAAACTCCAAGTGACGTTCCAGTACGGTCATCTGTATTTTTATGTAATAAACAGACTTCTCTCATATTTACTCGTACGTTTTTTATTTGGAGTTGTCAGTAGTTCCGACAGTGCTTCAGAAAATATAGTACTTCATCTACTAAAAATTGTTGTTAGAAAATATTATAACACCGTAGGCTAGAAAGAATTTACTACTCACATTAAAGATAATCAATTATCTACTTTTCTTAATCGACCAAAAGTTTTCTCTGCTTTCAAACTACGAAATCACATCAAAAGAGATCCATCTTTTTAGAAAGTACGTGGCTTTGAAACTTTTGAAAAACGTTCTTTTAATAGTAATTCATTATAGCAATCACTTCATGTCTTGAAAAAATTCACACTCATCTTAAAATCGTTATTGAAAATAATTTCTTCACTTAGTTACTGCCTACATTGCTTTATTCACTCCTGCTTAAGTAGAAGGAGAGTAGATGAAACATTTTGGTAATTATTTTTAAGCGCGGAATTATGCAGTTTCTAGTTGCTTAACTTACTCAACTCAATAGGTTAGAAATATGCCTCTTCGTTGCATTCTACATGATACAAATGATTATTTAGCCTTTGAATACCGTAACATTCATCTGCGTGATTGAAAATAATGAATAATATTAATCCAATAAACAAATAGCAATTAAAATAAAGCTTAAGTTGACAAAGTATTTTATCACCCAAACATTCGTTAAATTTCCTTATAAACTTTTATCCGTGTCACCCTATGACTCATACTTGAAAAAGAGAAACCACTCCACTTCCTACGACGCGAAGTAAGAACACAAAAGATTGGTACAAGTGATTGATTTATACACCCATTACTTGATTATCAATTAAGAAGTCATATATATATATATATATATATATATATATATATATATATATATATATATATATATACGAAAGATGTTCAGAACTCTAACAAAATCGCATACTCCATGTGATGCTAAACTTAATTCATGTTAATTTAATACAAATAAACACCACAGTGAAAATAAAACGAATATTATTCGGAGTAGCTATCGTATTAAATTAATACAGGAAAATAATATTCAGCAACAATCATACTGAATTCAGGAAGAAAATGTCTCACCTTGTTATGCCGTCATTTCGATATGGTTTTTTTGTGTATGAAGTTACAAATTTTTACAAATGACAATAATAAGTAAAACATTAGTTTGAGAAAGAAATCATTTATTGTATTTTTAATCAAAGATGGATAGTGGCTAGCAGTGGAATCCATGACGCTCGTTTCGTCCTATTCGGGACCCGTCAGCTGGATTTACCTCTATCCCAGAGTTGATGTTCACTCCGGGACTCGAAAGCTTGTGACTTAAGGCTGTATCGAGGCAATCGGCACAGGATACACACATTCAACATAAGACTGATCAATATTAGTCCTAAATAACAATCGGAAGATACAAGTAAAACAACACCAAGTGAATTTGTTTATTGTATTTGTTTTTTTTCGAAGCTGAAATAATTGGTTTACTTGTAAAATAGAAATGAATAAAATATCTTTGAAGTTGAAAAATCATATCAAATTTATCTCTTAAAAGTAATTATATATTTTCACATCATAATTCTCTGAATTTCAAAGGCTATGTCCAATGATAACTGTTTATTAAAATCACGTATTGAGCAATTGGATTCAGAATTGACCCAATTACGCCAAACAAATATGAGACAACAACAAGATTTACAGGTAATTTTAGATTGATTAATGCAACATTGAAAATAATTGTATTCATATGTTAACTGTCTTGTTTTCCATATTAGCATAATGAGATGAATTTTGATTTTAAAAAATCAAAATATACTGAACATTAAGATTATGAACCAAGAAGGTAGAATGAAAAGGTATATTTGAAGGAATGTTGGGATCCAAGACTTCGAGTGAATATATTTATGCCATTGTGATCGATTCTGAGCAATTTCACTCAACCTGCCCCACCACTAATCACTGTTATCACTTGAACTTCAATCAGATAGTCTACATATCCTTACCCAGAAAAATAACCAATGACTTCATGGACTGTATTGTATTTTGGTTCGGCTTTCCCTGAGTTGATCAACACGCACTACATCACCAATCGACTCACTGATTTTGCCTAATACCCTATGCCTAACCTCAACGTTGCTTACTCGACCGTTCCACAATACTCAAGCAGTGTTTCGAAAACATATATGATGAAAGGTCTAAAGCCTACGTATATCTGTTTTTTTCTTTACAAACATTATATTCTTGTATTTTGTTCTTCATACTACCGTTATTCTTAAAATGCGGACTAATTTCCATCCCCTCAATGCTTATATAAAGGTTTTCCGGGCTGAAAATCATAAATTACATTCAGAAAAAGAAACAGCTCTGGAAGAACTACGTATTAAACGACAAACAGAGTAAGTTACTTTCCAGCTGTCATTGATTACTAATGTCGTTTGTCACTATTTTGTCCATTTCCTTTACACATACAACATGTTTCAATAAAGTCGTAACTGTCGCTTTCGTATACATTGGTTGTTTGGATCACCTTCATAGTTTGTTTTGTTTTGATAACTAGACAAAATGAAGAATTTCAAGAAAAAGTTACATTTATGAATCTCTACAACAAACATTATCTAATATTAAAAATAATGTGAAGCCCCAATAAGTAGAGGTTAGATTTCTGACGTTATCCAGTATGATTAGGTTTCGAATTGTGTTCGCATTATTCTTATCTCCTCTTACCCCATTTCCAGTCTAGTTGACCTTTTATTTTTATGTATAAATGCTCTTAACAAGTATATGTGTGATTAGATTGTTCGAAATGTATTGCGCTAATATATCACATAGTTCTGATAATCTGCGTCTTCTTATTACATTATCGAAGTTTCTTGACTTGTACGCCACTTCTTCTTAGAATAAAAATAAATTAATTAAATTGATACGTCTATATAGTACAAAGGACACAAAACAGAATATTTTTGTACAATCCCAATTAAAATCGGTCTGATTATGTTAACATTATTACGTCGTTTTGGTCAATATTATTTTTTTTGTATGAGACCTAACTGTTACGATCGTGTGCGTGTGTATAAATGTAGATGAAAAGTGTGGTGATTGTAACGTGAGAGAGATTTTAGTTCTCAATCTTTTTAATGAAAAAGAAATCCATCGTTTAAATTCTTCAAAATCCAGGCAAATCAAGAATTATAAAAAAAAACAGAGAATAAAAGAAAAAACTGACTACCAAAATTGATTCTGCTGCCTTAAGGATGGTTCATAATATCTTATACAGAACTCTAAATAAACACGAAATCACTCTCAGGAAAAGGATTAAACTTCAATTTACACAGATAACCACTTGACACACTAGAACTGCCCCGATTTTGGGACACCTACTCGAACAATAACCAGAATGAGTGTCATCTCATACTTCGGAAAACATTTTGACAAAGCACAAATTCCCACCAAACATCTCAAAGGAGAGAATGTGAGCTCTATGGTCCATCAAATATCTAGGACAAAATCGCTAATCTGGATATAAATTTCTATCACTTTGTCCCCGTGTTAAACCAATGACACCTCCGCTAGCACTAGCAGCCTTGATTCAATATAGTGTAGTGAACGATTGGGTCAAATGGGGAAGACTAATTGATTGTTTAATATAAAATTACAGTGTCTTGGTAAATTATGAAAACCATACATTAAATATGTAAAAATTATATTTGAAATAATCTCAGCGATTGAAATTTAAATAATTCCAACGTTTCGTCCAGCTAACTTGTCTGGACTTCTACAGAGTAATAATCATAACTATACTGTGTTAAACCAATCAAATTTAGATGTTGATTTTTGTAAAATAGGATGAAATGAGTCAATTAAGTACAAATCAGCTACATGGAAATAATTAACTGTAGCAACAACAAATTGTATGTCTGTTATGTATGTATGTACGCGTGAGATTAATTATTGATATTCTGTATTAATATGTTATATATGAAAGTTCAAGGTTGAAAAATTGTTAATGAATCATCGATGTACATGTCAAAGTTAAGAATAAAAAAATACATAATTGAATGTGAAGTAAACAGGTTGAATAAAGATAGGGTTCAAATTACTTGGCGCGAGACTGATAGGTCCTAGGTTCGAATCCCGCGAGGGACGGGATCGTGGATGCATACTGCTGAGGAGTCCCATACTAGGACGAAACTGCCGTCCAGTGTTTCCAGGTTTTCCATGGTGGTCTAGCTTCAATTGATTCATGATTTCAACGATTGAAACGAAATTTGCCAGGTAGTCACCAGTTGAATACCATCTTTTCGGTTTAGGCTGTTCTTGTTCGCCCATATATACAGCGCTTCTGCTGTCAATCTTTCCATATGGGTGTTAAAAACCTTCCTGATGTATTTTGGTCCCTTCAAAATTGATCATGTGTCCTGTTTCTAACACATGTATTGCTAGCGCAGACTTATTTCCTAGTTTCTTCAAATAAACCGAGGATTTGGGAACATTTTTCAAACATTGTTTGTTCCTTCCATCTTACATTCAATTATCTGGATGTTTCTCCAACAAAGGTTGCATTACAATCATGACAGTTGATCTCATACACAACTTAAATTCAAATCTAAATCAGATTCTAAACAATCATTGATAACATCCAAAGCTCGATTGATAGGTACATTAGTGAATAAGAAAGATATATCAAAACTTGCCACTATTTCGTCCTTTTATAATATCGATGGTATCAATCACGTTGTTGAATTCCATAGAGTTTTTAATTCCATGATTAATTAGTTTTTCATATGGTTTGAGTATCTTAGCTAAATATTTGGCTAGATTGTAAGTCGGTGAATTTGTAAAATCTACCACTGGTCTTAGTGGAGTATTACTCTTGTGAATCTTTGGGAGTCCATAAAATCCGCATGGGTTACAACTCTTTGGATATTACATAAACCATAAGAACGATCCTAGCTTAGCCTTTAATGACTGTAAGAGTTTGGTTTCCGCCTTGAGTTTATTAAGAGTTGTTCTACTTTTCGTTTCTTTAATTTGTTATCCTTATCTGCTCTCGTAATTATAATTGTTTTGTCATCTCTCAGCTGTTTTAATGCATAAAATTCATTTTTATTTATGTTAGGAATATGAGGTTTCTGATGTAATAATGTGCTCATTATTTTATTCCTCAGTTCACTCGCTGTTTCATTCGGGAGTACATTCAGAGCTGGCTCTATTGTTGGTATAATATTGAAAAGTGTTAATTTAGGTCTATTTTTTTATATTGAAGTTGAGACCCTTTTTAAGTAATGATATTTCGTGTGGATTGAGAATTCTATCCGATAAATTAACAAACAGTTTGTTCATATCTTGTGTGTTTGATCTATTTTCGGTTTGTTGAGCTTTGTTGTTTGATGTGTATTTCAACATTTTTTCAAACTTCCTAATCTGTCGTTGTGTTAATGATTGATAATAAAATTGTTCTGTGTTTGAAAAATTCATTTATATCTGATCTTATTTCTTTCGGTACAATAACTGACAATATGTCATCGATATTACAAACTCTTCAAATTCATAGTGGCTTTGTGAATACGTTCTCTAATAAATGTTCTAGTGTCTATAATCGCCGCTTTGTGTTACCGAATAGAATTGTCCGGAGATTTGACCATCAAAGATTTGGGAAAAACATTTTGTTTTAAGCATCGTGGATTAAAAATTCTGTGATTGTACCAGTTATGTATTTTCTTTGATAATTTGATTCGATTGGAAAATAATTTATACGAATATTCGTCAAGATTAGGACGAATAGTTTGACAGAAATTGGGTGCCGAGTATAGATAAGTCATTATATGTGAAAATTATATTTGAAATAATCTCAGCGATTGAAATTTAAATAATTCCAATGTTTCGTCCAGCTAACTTGTCTGGTATTGTTTACTTGAATCTTTCCATTGATGTTTAGGATTGCAATTGATCAGTCTCCTGTTGGCATATATGCCTCGATATTGCCTTAATTCACAATATGCACATATGCCAATAAGAGACTGATCAATTGCAGTCCTAAACATCAATGAGAAGATCCAAGTAAACAATACCAAATGAATTTAAACTTTACCCCATTACACAAGCAACTGGTTACAAGGACTCCGTAGCTAAGTGGATAACGCGATAGCGTTTGAAGCGAATTCAGAGATGCAGGTACATTCAGCTGACGAGTCCCAAATAGTACAAAACGTGCGTCCTGCATTCCACTGCTAATTACTATCCATCTTTGTATACATTAAATACTTCATGTTCATATATTCCATCAAGTTTTTCTGACAAACTTCATCGTTCCTTTATTCCTGTTGTCTTCGATTCGATCTTCTCAACATTCTGATGCCATGCAGCTCACTTCCGATTGTGTTACATACTATTTATGTCTCAGCGTAAGGAACATGCACCATAATAGTACCAATGATCCAACTTGTTTTTTTTATTACCACAGACAAGTAGAAAATGATACTGTACATATGGAGTTAAAACGTCGTTGTCATGATCTAGAACTAGAGAAACAAAAAAACCAGGTCAGTTTATTTATTATTATCTCTAAAGTTACTATTTAAATTATAAGTGTTGTTTTCATTTTCTTGCAATGATATTACAAAAGAAAAAAATGTATAAGGTAAACAGTTTCACATCAACTAAACTATTTGTAATTATTGAAACTGTTGGGTGAGAATGAATAAAAATAAAATAACTGAAGTTGAACATAATGATCAACTAAACAGTGTTTTATGATAGGTGTTTTTTTATTTTCTCGTTTGTTTCGAAACAATCAATACAAAATGCCTACTACAATTCGTTGAATATTTTCTGTTGGTTAAGTTTATTCTATTTTAAAAAGGTCTTACATACTACAAACACTTTTTAATATTGTTCAGAGATATTTTGAATAATCTGTAGAGTTTTTCGGTTGACATGTTAAGCCCATATATCTTATTCTCGCTTTCGGACAGGCCAATCTATTCATTCTAGTTGAGTTACATTTTGACCTTGTTAACTATTCGTTTATCAATATTGACTTTTTTTTATATGAGCGCATATGTGTGTACATTTCTTATCCTATTCATCACTGTCTGTAACTTATTTTTGTGTGACTATAAATATGGATTAACTCTTGACTAAAGGGAGTTGGATTACCCGTCATCTCCACTGCGCGTTGTTTCGCTTCTCTCTATTACATTCGCTTCATATACAAAATATATATATTCAAAAGTCCATTCTCGTTATTTGACTAATTTAATTCCGTTAATAACTAACGCAATTTAAGTCGATGATTATATTCGAGGATAGGAGATAACAAACATTCATACGATCAAACTAGAGTCATATTCCGGGCCACTAAATTGGAGAGCCCATCGACAACATCGTCCAATCTAAATGATGACGAAATAAAGGGCCCTACTAAAAATCATTGTTTCATTAGCGTAATTACTGAAAAATCTATCAAATGTGATCAGAATAACCACTTGGAAAAAAAAAGAAAATGAGTAACACACTTGAATTATTATTCATTTACAGTTGAAGAAATATTTTTTGTGGTTGTTGTGCTTATTTTCGAAAACATTCTGCAACTTAGCGATATAATCTAATTCATAGTTAAGTCAGTTTTGTTAAACACCTATCATACCAGTGGAATTTAATAATACCAAATTGTTCAGCTCAAATTAAAATTTTATTTTTGACTTTTAAGTAACATATTATTGCTAGATATATATAGTCAGTCTTACATTAGAGCTTAAACTTGTGTAGAAGTTAACACTCACACAAGACACTATGCTTAAGAGATTTATACTTTTCAATCTGTAATTAAACGTACAGATTTAGAGACAGTTATGCGTTGTTTTTACAAAATGTATGATTTATATATTGTCAAGAATTTCATCATTGACTGACATTATCAATAAGAATCATAAAAAATTAAACAATTATTGCGAACATTTACTGATGAAATTACTGTTTTCAACATAAGAAATTTCAATTTATTCACAAGTTTTTTTTAAAAATATTCTTTTATAGGAGTTGTCTATTTCTCTATCTGAGGTAAGAGCTGAACTATCACGAAGTTTACAGAAAGAAAAACGTCAGTCTGAAATTATTAGTAGTCTTGAATATCAGTTTGCTGTGAGTCTTTCATTAATGATTGTTACTTCCATCTCCTTAATATATATATATATATATATATATATATATATATATATAATTGTTTTTTTACAGAAAAGGATTATTTAGTATATTATTACGTATAACATGTTTGAGTAATCTGGAACTACAAATACATCACGTATCACACTTGAGAAATCAATCAATCATAATGGTAGAAAAATCAGTTGAAAATAATAATGACTAGTTCTGCTATGAAATACCAAACAGTAAAATATCATTGGTTGGATAAAAGTCTTTAGAAGAATTTCAAGTGATCAGTAAAGTAATGACATTGTGTGTGTTATTTTCAAAACTGTAAATTGTGCTGTTAAAGACATCAAACACTAGTGATTACAGATGAATAATGATACTCTCTTTACTACACATTAAGGTTTGTAAAAAAATGTATAGATTAAATAAAAAATATTCACACAATTGGGTTTAAAATTTATTTGTCTTTGTAACACAAAATAGTATAACTCATCCCAACTTATCCCGTAATTTAAATAGGTTTCGGACTATAGCCCGAGCTCCCAATTTTGGGGAAGCCGCTATAGTAGACTTTGGGGAAACGGCACTAAAACCCCAAATTCCCCCAGACCTGGGAATTTCCCCTTTAATCTTGATGGTCATTTGACTTTGGCGATTTCCCCAAACATTGATGAAAGTCATTTGACTTTGGGAGGTTTAGACTAATTTCATAACTGATCACATTGTCTGCATGTTCTCATTATCTTTATTATGCTGACTACTTATAACTTCCTATTGTTTTTAGTTTTCTGCTTTGGTACAATAGAATTATTCAAACAATACATGCTTGTTTTATAATAAGTGAATAACCCCACAATTCTTATCATCTACCTCAGTATTAATTGCATCAACAATTGTTAGCTTTCGTTAGACTCTAAACAGTTTTACTCTACTTAAATACATTTCTATTTACCTCAGTGTTTTTATATCCTTGTCTAATTAGGAATTGAATGTACAAAAACAATGCCTACTTGATAATGCTAATCAATCAAAATTAGCTTATGAAACAGCATCTAGTGAATTAAGAGCACAAGTGGCAAATTTATCCAATGATTTAATACGTGTTACTAATGAATTAAATAATACTGAACAAAAAGTTTACGAATTAACATACCAGCTGGAATCTACAACAAAATCATCTAATAATAATAATTTAAATGGTGAACCAGTCATAATTAATATTAAATCAGACGAAACATGCATTAATAAACAAGATGAACAACATGAAAACGAATTATTACATATTAGTAATAATAATATTTATGAAGATTTACGTAATCGATTATCCGAAGTTGAAACTAATCTTAATGTTGCTGAAAAAGAACGTGCCAAATTTTACAATCTTTATCAATCTGCATTAAATGAAGTGGATCATTACAAGGTAAAAATCTTCAAGTTCCATTGTTTCGTTTATTTTACATAATATTCGTTGAACGATGAGGCAATTTATATGTTAAATATAAACAAAAGACGTTGAATCTTGGAGTACATTAAAATATTTCTCACCCTGGCTCAGTGGTCTAAAGGTTAAGCGTTTGTGCACGAGATCGACCGTCCTAGGTTCGAGTCCCGTGTGCGGGGTTGGGGATGTGCCCTGCTGAAGAGTCTTGTACTAAGAAGAAACGACCTCCCAGTGCTTGCAGGTTTTCAATGGTAGTCTAACTTAGATCAGTCTATGATTTTAGTGAAACTCAACAATCTCCACAACCTCATACTGACAAGTAAAAATAAATTAGTTCGCTTGAGTAACTCTTTTCAAGGTTCTTCAATAGAACATTGAAAAGCATTTTATTGAACAGTTTGTAAATTGTTACTTATTCAATCATGTTTATATGTTAATTATGTTTCTTAATATGATAACAAGTCATATGTTTACATGCGTACTATATTTGAGTAAGAGTATACACGACGATAAAGTGGATATATTCATCTTAGTCATCATGTATGTCGTTCGTGTGTCCATGGAACTAATTGGAGCTGGACCAGCGTTGATTTTTTTTGAAGTACTATTTTCTGTAAACCTCTTGAGCTAAATAAGTGTTTTCAATTCTGTATTGCAAATTGTGTCAAGTATAGTTGAAAAAGCCATCCAAAATAGTAATTTTCCTCAGTCTGTTATTTTTGAAAATGTTGATTCATATTTTAGAAAAAATTACTTTCAAAATACATAATTTCTTGAGGCTGTCATTAAGGATGGCTTCCTCAATTCCCTGTCTGGATTGTCAACGTCATCTTAGTAGTTATGTATATCATCTTTAAGCTCTTAGTAATCAGTTGATCTTCTATAGAGTGGGGGATTGACCTGGTCTCTCCATCTAGCCTCTTGCGTTGGCTCATGAGACTAGATCCCACTATCTAGGAGCCACGACTTGGATGTACGAGTCGCAATTCACCTTTATGTACTAATAACAATTACACTGTTTTCATTCAGATTTACTTCCTAAGTTTACTTAATTTTTTGAAAACTTCACTCTAATTTTGGGCTAACGCACATTTACACCAAGCTCCACGTTGGTTATGACTGACTAACTGACATTGGTTTGCATTTAGTTATCACTTCTAATTCATTATAAGTAAACTATTACTACACAATTATCTTGTTGAATATATCATCTTTTTAATTGCAAACTCATTTACCAGGAACAAGTTCGTGTACCTGACTTCATAGCCAGTGGGACTACCTGGTTGTCCTAACTGAATTAGATGGAGCGGGGTTCATGTCCTTGAATTTGTCAAACGCTCTAACCATTGAGCCACTTCTTTAAAAAAAACTGCATAATCTCATCGTGGATTGATAAAGTCGCCTAGGATTTTACTCGGGACCTCACGCATACGAAGCAAGCAGTCCACCACTTTAGTCTCTAACTAGATTAATGTTTCAGTTAATTGTATCTTCTTCTTTACCAAAGCAGCTTCCCAAATCGGTAATCTGTGTATAATATATACGGACTAACATATATCTTGAATTTCTCATCATTAGCAACTTTTGAATTTACGAATTTGTAACATAGGACAGATGTCTTTTTTCATTCCTAACTTGTTTCATATTCTTATTGACTTTTAGTCGACTTTAATACAAACCGAAGACGTTTTAGCGAAACTAGAAGAATCCGTTAAACAGACAGAAAGTAAATGGCGTCAACTTTTATCAGAAAGTGAATTCGAACAGATTCAACTTCGTAAACAATTATCAGAATCTCAATCAATGTTGAAAGATGTAAGTTGTTTACACTAAAACAAATTATTCTGTACATTTCTAAATATTTCTTGTTTTATGTTCACTCTGTCTATTTATGCACCCGAATTAAATGCTCAAGTGTCTGTTGTAGCAGTTATTGTAACTTGGTTTTATGTGGAACCCTTAACAGTCTACCTAACTCACATCGATCAACTTGTCCAACTCTCTGTGTTGGCGAATAAACCGCTTTTCGCAGCCTATCTGAACCCTACACTGTTTACTTTTTAATGTAAGTATGTTTCATCAGTCAGAATACTATTCCCACATGAAACTGAGAAAGAGGGATTACGTTGTCGTCATTCATGATAAGCACCTTGCAAATACGATTGTAATAATAAAATTAGTTGTTTCAGTTTTAATGAAAATACTCACTCATCTAATCTACTTATTAAATAGAGTTATCTTCCAACTGCTCTCGACGTATTTACATATGTTTAAGTATAAACAGTAGACAAATAAATATCTTTGTTTGTATTTTTAATAATGTTTTGTAAAATACACTGTCTTAAATTGGTAGATTCATGTGAAATGCATTTATTACTAGCTGATTATATACTAAATTGTCAATATCTTTCTCATGGAAAGCAGTCGTCATATAGTCAGTGTAAGAGTGATCATAGTAAACAATCTCATATTCGTATGGATACAATAATATTGTTAGGCTTTTCTTAACCTCCACCAATTGTAGTACAAGTAATATGTTCATCTGTTTACTAAAGTGTGAGTAAACTGTCCCGACATTCGCTATATGTTACTTCATGGCTGTGAAACATAGTATACTAAATTGAAAGATTCACTTCGATTGTCAGTATTCGATCATAGATTTCTTCAAAGCAATATAGGGATATGGTGGAGTAATGAGAATTAATCGTTGGGGACCATTTAGAGATAGTAAATTGGTCAATGAGGCTTTAAACCTTCACATAATAAAGCGGATGGTACTTGTGTTGTACGTGCTCAACCATCTCCAACACTAATCTGTTTAATATCAATTAACAATCATATTATTCGTCCTAAATATATTTTCTGGTTTTCGGTTTAACTAGGCTAATATATTCTGTAAACTATGGCATAAAATAAAGATCTATGCTTTCCTTATGTAAGCAAATATAAATAAATAACCATTTCCTGCAATAACACTATTATTTTTCTGTTGAAAGAAAGAGAGAATTACGACATTCTGATAAGAAATTTAACGGGTATTTAAAAGCAAAATTATCGTCTCATTGAACAGAATAACAAATGACACTCAAATCACTAATCTAAAAATGATAATAATAAATCTAAAGCCAAGAAATTCCTTCACTACTTGTGACAATACATTTGAATCCTATCATAATTGTATCAACCCTTTACGTGCATGGTCCTACATTGTAACTGACTGACTGATAGATATAAGTTATTCATTTTCTTGTTTTTTTTTGTTATTTTAATAATTAGATCACAGGAAAACTGAATCAAGCCGATGAAGGAGTACCTGCACTAAAAATTTATAATGTTGGAAAGAGGCAAAAGAAGTCAAAAACACGTAAACCGGTAAGTTCATCATCATCGTAGTAGTAGTAGTAGTAGTAGTAATCTCGTTTACATACATTTTCTTTTTACCTCAACATGTACACAAAACCTGTATATCTTAGACCATTTTGAAACTCAATTTTACTGTGTATTAATGGTTCCAATTAATGAAAGTAAATAGTACGACTCGATTATCAGTCCTAACTACTGGCTAACATTGTACTATATAACTACCTGTTATCATATTATCACTACTATCAACTCATTACCATATATAGATCCGTGTACTTTACTGTAAACCACACTCTAAATGTGAAGGTTATTGATAAAAATTATTCGGTTTCCGAAACCGAAATAGGGGAACAGGATTCGAACCTGTCACTTAATGGCTAGAATTTCGAACAAAACCATGAAGCTACCATTCTACCTGAATTGAAATGATCCCGAAATTGTAAGGGATCTTTTTAGTTTCATAGCACCAAATAATAATATAATTTCTGACTGTTGCTATTATTATAATTCTCTCACAAACAAACCTTTGTTACCACTTGCAAATTCGTTACTATTTTTGCCCTCAACATTTGTTAACGTATCATAGTCTATTAACTGATAAATTCTTTACTGTTTAACTCATTAATCCCCACATTCTTTTTGAATAAACTTAAATTTCTATTAAAGTTAAAAACTTCATCTAATTACCAAGATTTTGTAAGAGCAGCGAATTAGCGTATAATTCCCATGGGACATCTCAATAATAAAGATTAGCCTAGAGCAATTAGCAAACGCTTCATTAATTTTTGCTAACTTTACACTTGTTCTGTTCTTAGTGGTTAAGGCGTCTGATTCGAACATCAGTCCACCTATTTCAGTTCGAGAAACCGAAGTATCCGGTTAATAAGTCAATCGATTCATTTGTTATTTTTCGACCTCACTTCCCTATTTCATCTCCATTTTTCTTTTCTAGGCAGACCCGTCTAATTTGTTTACAGTAGTTGGATTAAATACAGAAAAAACTTCAGAGAATATTCAGCCTATCGAACAGAGAATATAAATATCTATGAAAATAAGCATTTTTAATAACTAGTTGAGCATGTCAAACTCCATGATTTCATTATATTTACACATTTGCATACTTTCTGTTATTATATTAATATTATCCGTGTCGATTCATTCTGCATATACTTATATTGATATGCCCGAAGGCGGTTGTGTTCATGTAGCTCTTTGCATTGTTTCGCTTTTTTGCTCCCTTTCTTACTTACTATTTTGAACACTTTGTTTTTTGTTTTCTCTATCTCTCGCGTCACTTTCATGTGTTATTGAACTTTATCAGGTCAGTATTATTTATTTTAGCGTTTTGTTTTCATGAATAAAATCATTGCACAAAAATACATTATTTTGTGCTTATTTGTTTGGTAAATAATCCATTGGGTCTTGTCGAACAATCCAAATGTTTCTATGAAGGAGTGAAGGTTTAGTGTTAGTTACTGTTTCTATTGATAGGGGGAAGGTTCTAGGTCAATAATTTGTTCCCTTTACAAGAGAACCAGTATTATTATATCATATAGCCCGTCAATTATCGCATGGTAAGATCACCAATCAGAACATCGACTTATACAACTTTGGCCTTGTGTCAAACCAATGACGTGTTGACCAGCACGAACAGCCTACAGTCAACTCTGAGTCCTTATTGGTTCTTTTCACCTAGTCCTGTTTGTTGATTTCAGAACACCATCTCAGCTACCACTGTATGAATCATGTGTTTCAGACATACGCAGTTTATGTATAAGCGAACCAGACCGCATCACATCACAAAATAGAAAATAACAATTATACACGATTAAGCCAAAAGTGTCTGTGAGTGAGAGATTGTAATTAATAAGTCGGAAGTAAGTTAAGAATGGTAAATCGTATGGGAATAGCCAATAGGACAAACGAAAGGAATTAGAATATATGTATACTTACTTATTAATTATCCAGTAGGAATATTTACAATGATAGTCCATTTATAATTCCTAACAGTTATTCTTCATTAAGATATATCAGGTTTCCTATCGATTTTTAAAAGATGAATGAAGTAAATATCCAATGCTTCCCTAATTCATATCAATTCGTGATTTAACCTACTTCTAATCATAAAAAGAATCAGGGAACATATTCAGTAAAAGCGGACATCAAAATCGTTCTATTCAGCTAATTTCTGCGTATCACGTTATCATACCAATGTTTAGTATGTTTATGTTAAATAAAGTATTGAAATAAGAAAAATACAAACACCTGGTTTCAAAAAAATAATTTATCACCTTTTTGTTTTAATTATTCGAACGTTACTGTTGTTGTTTTTCACTTTTTTTTTTAATAGAAGTAAAATGTTTTATGACATGAACACACTTTTATATGAATAACTATTTACAATTTTCACTGTTACCACCCATTTCTCTTTTGTTTTTATTTTGTTTCCTTGCATCATTCTCATGTGATTTACATGTGATCAAATTCTCTTTCATATTTCACAAGGTTATTTCTTTATTAACCTTATAACGTTGTATCTATAAACTGTTATAAGAATACTTGAATATTTAAGAAATAATATTTACTGAAATCTCTGAATAGTTTCACTTGTCCTTCAATTAAGAAAAACAACTTTAAGTAAAGTTTATTGTGTCACAATATTGTTTGAACTATTAAGGAATCAATCATAGCATTTGTAGAAACATTCTACATATCTCTACTGATAAATTCCTGACTGTAACTGTACTGAACAAGAACACGAGTGGGGGACACTCCGATGTAATTGACAGAAAATTACAGAACTTGTTAATAAAATCTAACAATCATATAATAAATGCTTAATTTGCAAAATATCCACAAATTGTCTTAAAATAACTCGGACTTCATTGTTTTTGCATTTTCATGCAAATTGCATTCTGTTTCCATTCTTTACTGTTCGATCCACTTGTCTTTCTGCTGCAAGATATCCTGTTCTTAACTAACGTCATATACTACTTATGTCGATATAAGTAGCACATACCACATAAGTATTATTAGATTATCTAATTATCATTCAGCTTCCTTTTTGAACAAATTCAGTGTATGTAATAAAATAACTGTATGATTTTCTTCGGATGATCAAGAAGAATAAACGTGGTATAGGAAATTTTCGAGATTTTAAGATTCGTTAGGTTCTTAATATGTGTGAAGAAAACCTGTGGAAGTACTATACGATTATTAGATCCCAAGTGCTCGATATATCTTTGTGAGATATGATTTATAAATTTTCACATACGGTTGTTAATCGATAGATCTCTTTGTTTGAACCCCATCTTATCTATTTATGTCTGATCAGCTGAAGTGTATCAGTAGTCTATACAAACATTGTAGATGAAAGCTGGGTACTGAATACGTGGACTTGATAAATAAGTTGCATTATTAGGATATGTCAATGTGGTAACTATTATGATGAAATAATCAAGTTGATAATCTACACAAAACCGATACTTGAATCCAATCAATACGAAAATAAAAAAGAATCACTGGCCAACGGATAGAATATTATATTAAAGAAATCTACCGTTTGTCCATATATTATTCATCCAAGATAATATGACTCAGTGATTATTCCGATATCAACCGAATAATAAAAAGTGAAGTTCCAAATTATTGATTAAGCTTTACGTCCCGCCTAACTTTACAGGGCTGCATATTCAATATAATTTAATAGACCTTAATCAGTTACGATTGGAATTATTAACCATTACTTATAACTTAATGTTGATAGATGAGTGAATACAAGCTGAAGGGAAATCTCGGACAGAACCGACAACTATGAGACAAATTAATTCTGCATAGTTACGTAGTAGTGTGGTTAAAAAATTATTTTTAATTCGTAAAGTTATTCATTGGTTTATTTAAGCAAATCTTATTTACTATACGAATAATCCAACTTCATGAATACATACCACATAATTAATAATTACAAACTAGTCAATTTCAGTCACTAAGCCGTGAAGTTTAAGCAGTAATTCATAAAATGGTTTGTATATACTTATATTACACATGATAGTATAGTTTAAATGTACACTTATTATAACTATAGATTTCTAAAAACGTAGAGGTTATTAGAACGTGATAAACCATTTCATGTTTTAATTCTGTGCGATTTTAGTTGATTGGTACATCCGTTTTCAATTCAATGTGTTATTTGTTCATCATAATATATGTTTTATTCGGTATAATAGTTCGTGTATTAATGTAGTGTACAGCTTATTCAATATAAAATAAAGTATACATTTTGTATTGATTCTGTGTTAATCCTTTTTGTATTTTCCCTATTTCGGTCATGTGTTATTGATCGAATACGATTAAAACTAATACATAAATAGGTGCATTTAGTTTAAGTGGTTATTGTGTTTCGGAAGAATGATTACAATTTCTACCCCTCCTCACCATTCTTTTTATTCTTTCCTTAGATTTTACAAATCTTTTAGTTTTTCCTGTTCCAAGTTTCGATTTCCGTGATTATATCCTAAATGCCCTTGTACGGCAGAGGAGGGTAGGAAAGTTCGCTCTGCCTTTCGAAATGTTCTCAAATAGCCACACGTACATAGCCACCGTGAAGGAAGTTCTACTTACTTCCTTCTCGCAGCAACAATTAAGTTTCAAATGTTACACAGAAGCTTAAAGAGGAAGAGATTTTGAAAATACAAATATATTTTTATGTGATAAGATGTACACGTATTTAATTAGTTTATTTAGTGAATGAAAATGTTAGCTTCAACGGTATCCAAAGGTCATCTCAAATTTTTTTCCAGATTAGTTTGAGTAACTTATAAATGATATTTAAGTATTCTTGTGATCTAAAGGAATTTATTAATATAACTAGTAGTGTTTCGTATAACTCGATAACTTTAACTTCCTAAAGATACCAGATCCGGTTTAACCACTATCCACATTGTTAAGCAACACATGTATTCGCTCCAGGATTACTGCTGCTCTGAATTCCATATAAAGGAGGAGGGTCGTGCATGGACTTAGCAACCGCACCCCGTAGAAAATAACCTTGCTAAAACACGCTAGTCAGAAAAAAATTAGACTCTGACTTGTGAGTTGAAGAATCTTTATTTGGAAGAGTTATGACGGCTCATTGAGAAAGCCGAGATCCTTTGGTAATCCCGAAGCTGATGCCCCTTCATATAACCACTGCAGCAATTAATGTAGGTACATGAAATGTTCAAACAATCTAGGAGACCGGGAGGACCAGTCAAATAGCAACAAAAATGAGATACAACTTGCGGTTCTCGAAATCAGTGAAACCCATTAGACACAAGCTGGACAGAAAAGGATAGATTCGGTAGAGATGCCGCTGTACTCTGGTCATGAAGAAGAAAATGATCCTCACACTCAAGAAGTTGCTCTGATGCTATCCAAAGAAGCACAAAAGGCACTTATTGGGTGGGAATCTCATGGACCCAGGATCATCATAGCATCCTTCAAAACAATGAAAGAAGGCATTACAATGAATGTTATTTAATGTTATGGAAAAGTGCTCATGAAAGGACCTGATCATCCAAATGGAAGACCTAGACGCCAAAGTCGGAATGGACAACGCCGGATATGAGGATATCATGGGACGGTATAGACTGGAAGAGAGAAACGAAAATAGGGAACGATTTTCAAATTTATATGCATACAACAAAATGGTTATAGGTAGCACAATATTACCACATAAACGTATACACAAAGCTACATGGGTCTCATCGGATCACACCACACTGAACCAGATCGAGAATATTTACGTCACTAAAGCATTCACAATGTCAATGGAAGACGTGAGGACGAAGAGAGGAGCTGACACAACTTCACATTACCACTTGGTTGTGGCCAAAATGAAACTGAAGCTAAAGAATCATTGGACAACTAGTTAAACAGCATTACAAAGATTCAACTCAGCTTACATTCGAGATACTGACAAACTCAACTAATTCAAGATAGTTCACAACAACATGTATGAAGCCTTACTAGATCTACTCAAAGAAAAAGAAACTACTATGAAAGACAATTGGAAAGGAATCAAAAAAGCAATTACAATGAGAAAAGAATTTTAAAAACATCTACTATTTACAAAATAATTATAATATGGATTTCTTAAAGATATTTTAATTAGATTTTATCTATTAGTGAATTCTTCTCAAGTATTCATTAACATATAAATCAATTATATATATAAATTGATAGATGTGAATGAACTTAAGATTCCATTCAATGATTCAGGTTCTATTAAACAATTCAAAAATAGTTACTTCTTTTTCTTTTTAGAAGAATCATTTATTATGTAATTAATAAATGTCAATCAATTAATATACATTATATTAGTGAAAAATGTTTCCAAAAAATAAAAAAAAATAAAAATAATTTTTTATATTTTTAGGGAAAAATAATTTACTTTTTGTCATTTATTTTTCAAGGTCAAATATTTATAATTTGATACTTCTTTTATTCAATTCTATTTATTGTTTAATTAGTTTAAATAATCAATAGAAAATGGTAGAAAGTATATTTTATCTATAGAAGTAATGGCGAGACTATAATTTATGGATCTTGAGAAATATTAGCGAATCAGCAAACAGTAAAAATATATTATATAAAACCAAAGAAATAAAGTTGGCACACTTCTTATATGTGGTTCAAAAACTTGTCAAGATTAGAAAGATGTTCAGAGGTTCTAAAATCGTAATGCATGCAGTAGAGGAAATAATCCATACGACTACAGAATAGTCGCTCTCTGGATCCATGATAAAGTCTCAAAAACTCTTTCAGCCTCGACCACATAGCTTCAATATTGTTTGTGTGTACTCCGGTTGTTAAGTACACAAAATGCCACTTGTGGATAACAATACCATACACATAACCAAGCGTATGTAGGAGTCTGTACGCTCTCCGATCATCCGTATATGTTGTAGTACCTGGCTACAGCCAGTGTTATTGGTGCTTTTATTATCCAGTTCGTAATAATCGTCATAATTTGTCTTAGTTAGGAATTATATTTAGGGTTTTCATCACAAACTGACATTAGCTATAATGCCAGAAATCTATCTAGCCAAATGGATGAATAGCGTTCACACCAAAATCTGAGATCTGTTATCTTATACCTGATTGATTCGTCCACAAATTATAGTCTTGCCGTTTTATTTGTTATAGCCGCTCAGCTATCACGTTCTATACAAAATTCCTTGTGAACCGATAGTACGTTAGTATTAAGCACTGAAGTTGGCGCCGTGACCTTGAAATCTCTCAAACGCTTCTGATTGGCCCGTCCATAAATTAGAGTCTCGCCGAAGTAATAATATTGTTTACAGAGAAAAAATCTACGTTTTAAATATAAAGAAAAAGGGTTTAATCTAGATTATTTATATTAAAGTTCGTTTTTATTTCGTACATGTATTAGCTGTAAAAGCATTGGAGAAAATAAAAAAAAAGAAAAAGTAAAACATGTTTTACGCTAAATTAGTACATGTCAATAGTACACATATATAATATGATTTTCAATGGTTTTCTAGTTGTTGTTAATTTAGAATATGTTGATCACTAATTGATTACATAATATCAGAAGTTTTTTGTGGAGATTGTAGTAATTTCAATAGTTGAGATCATGAGTCACTTGAAGCTAGACTGCCATGGAAAACCTGAAAGCATTGGATGGCTGTTTCGTTTTCGTATGGGACTCAGCAGTGAGCATCCATGCTCTTACCTCACAAGATTCAACCTATTAGTCTCGCGCGCGAGCGCTTAAACTCTAGACCACTGAGCCGGCATCCAATGGTGTTAATGTCTAACTTTAACCAATCCATGGAGTTGAGTCATCGTCCATCATTGTCTTCAGTGAGTTACTATCTCACAACAGACCCGGT